CTTTGCTTGGATCGTGCAAAATACCAAGGAAAAACATCGAAATTTCGGCAAATTAACGCCGAAGCGAGTGTGGTTTTTCGGAGGAGCCATGTTTCCTTTGCCGTGTTGCCTGCTGGGAAATGCTCAGCGAAAACTGCCGAAAATTGCCGAGGCAGTTGTCGGGTCCTCCCGGGAGACGAAATCTAACATCGGAAAATGGCGAGTGCCCATATTTGGTTATCGTCGCCTTTCGTCGCCTTGTCGAAATCGTTCAACTTTGACCCCAAATTCCCTTATATGGGAACATTACAATCTGCTGGAAAAACGCCGGCAGGTTCGTGCGGCGCAGGTTTTCGATCTATTCACAGCGCCACTGCTTTGCTAATTGAAAACTATTGAATCCGGAGCCTATTTTTTCCTTCTGCAAAATTGCAGATTGTAAGATTTTTTCTTCTGCAATCTTGAAAATCTATCTGCAAATTGCAGACTGCAGACGGGTATTTCGAACACTGCATGGTGTTTACATTACAGATGAAAAAGTGATCTAGTGCTCTTGCACAATGCATGTCCGGCTTCGTTTTCCTTTCTGCAAGTGGTCCATTGCAAGGGTCATGGCTTCATTTTACGCACAGTGAACATAAAAGGGTAATGGAGAATTTCAAAGTGGTGTTGTTTTGGATTTTTCTTGTCCTCTTGGAAACCAAGGTGGTGCACCTAAGGTCCGGTCCAAACAAAAAACAATATCAAAGCCAGGTAAGACTATTTTTTATTGATGCAAAATGAACATCTGCTTTTGCATGACGCTGAAGGAAAGGACTGGCTTCTCACCATTTTGCATCACACTGGGTTTCATTTGGATATCGTTTAGGGGATGGCTATTTTGTAAGTAAACAACATGCTTGCTTTCTTGCTTAGATGTTTGAAACATAGCTGCTAATCTTTGGCAAAAGGGTAAATGAAATGCATGCACATGTCCAATTACCTGCTACCGGTACAGAAAATTTGGGATCCCACAATGTAAAGAAGCATGGACTCCAAGTTGTGCAAACTTTGTGCAGTCACAGTAATGAAATTTAAGGAATGGCAAAGCATATATTTATGTTGATATGCTTGTGGAGTCATGATAATAAATAGTATTGGAGTAGCTCTGATATGGTTCTCTCTACTTTCAAAATGGGGTAAAATGTAGTGTGGATACTAGTATTGTAACTCATGTCCAGACAAGCAGTCACAACAATCTCACCTATCATGTACACCTGCCCCCTTCCTCCTCTATTATTTCCACCTGGCTCGACGTGTGTTGACCAAATACCGGCGACACCACGCACTACATACGGACAGTCTGGGCTCACCGTTACCGTTATGGCATCTGTTATACAGCACTTTGTTTTCCTTAGGAAAGTTATACCTGTTCTTCTATGAATAGCAGAAGTGTGAATGAAGGTTTTCAGTTACAAATCGTTTTTAGAATCATATGCCGTGAAGGTGTCTTGTTTCGACGACGTGATATTGTGTGTCACAATCCGATTGTTGTGGGAGTTGTGAAGAGGGCTCAGCCATTGCAGAAGGGGGGTGTTCCATTCAGACCAGACGAGGGTCTGAGAAGTGGAGATGGAGGGTTGGGTTTCAGGAGGCCAGTGGGGGGCTGAGGGGTGAATGAAATTGACACAAACGTTATGGACTGGGGAGGTTAAAAAAACTACCTGTTGATCCAGAGTTTGCTGCAAGTGTTACATTATCGCTGTGCAAGCGTGCGCTCTGCCCTTACACTGGAAAACGACTACTTGAATTACTCAGTCGCCAAAAAGTAAGAACATTTCTTTACTATTTGCTGTTGCATCAAAGATCAGAAAAATCACAGAAAAAGCTTGACGTTTATTTTTATTCCATTGGTTTTGACATAGAAAAACAAACAATCCATTATTATATAGCGAAACAAAAGGATCACCAAAGCTCCCACCAGAATGGTACATTCCAAACGACCTTGCTAGGTTAACAAACTTATCGTGTCTCAAACCTTGACAACGATGGGGTGCCTACTGTTTGGCTATGGGGCGTCAGCGCCTGTTAGCACGTATAAGTCAAGATGTCAGACTCCACTTTATTAATGAGGAATTTGTTGAGGGTTTAAGTTGCCAGTGTTGTGTGTGCCATGGAGGAGAGTGAAGGTAAATTGGTTTTTGTGTTTGCCTGTTGGAGTTTGCCTAGCGATACAGGAAGGCAATTGACTGAACCTCACAATGGTCTGGCAGTTGTCACTGTAGGCAGGTTCTTTGCATAGTTATCCCTTAATGCGTCTTGCCAGGTCACATTAACAGCGCGTTGGTGGGTGATTACCTTGTTTTTCATAGTTATAGCAGAGTAATAGCTCAACTTGCTCGCTGGCTGTTTGGGGGAAATGCTCAACCGGGTAAATTGCTATATTTCTCTAAATTTCCGTCTTGAATTTTTGTCAACAAGATTTATATAATAACATTACTTGTTGTATTGTGCCATTTTTTGTGAGAGAGAGAATTGGTTTTGTGTCTTTTTCTTTGTAGGGGATTTGTTGTGTGTGCGCTTTTCAAATGAACCACCGTCTCAACACTGCATGGAGTGTCCTCGAGAGCTTAAAGTGTTGTTCTCCGACACCGTTTCTTATTCAGAGCACACCTACTGTTGCCATAGAGTGCTGTTGTTTGGCATTTCCCTGTAACAGCAATGGGTGGGCATTTGTATCCAGCTCACATTTACAAATGCAACACTCTGTATCAAACTAAAGCTCAATAATGTTTTCCCTCCTGTTTTGTGCCTCCACGGATGATTCCAGCAAAAATCCTAGGTAGTAAACTTATCTCATTGCAAGTCTTACAATGAGGTTCTTTGTATACTCTGTTATCTTAAAGATGGTGTGTAAGTTATGTTTCAGTTTTCTCTTATGTGTTGCCATGTTTTAGTTGACATTTAGTTAGAGTCACTCAGCTACATGTATGAGAAATGATTTTTTCCTTGTGATGTTTGTTATTGTTAGTTAGCTTGTAACATTTGTTGGTAACACATATTTGTGTACTCAGCTTAGTTGAAGTTTACATGGTACAGTCTAATAGCAGAACATTACTAGTAATCTGCCAGTAGAGATGAGAAAAGGTCAATGCTTTTACAGTTTGAACTAAGGACTCAAGACTAAAGCATGTTTCCTGTTTCTTTCAGAAGCTCAGCAGAAACCGAAGGTGCCGCCAAAGCCGGTTAACATCCCTCCCTCCCAACACGACGTATTTGCCTTGGAGCAGCTGGTTGCCTTGTTACGGTGAGTATCTGTGATCAACAAGATCAACCAGCGTGGGTGGGCACTGAACTTAAGGCACTGTACTTGGAATACTTGCTTCGAGGGGCAACTCACTCATTTTGTATTGTTACAGTTACTACATGTATGTGCTAGATGGAAAGTCAATGAGTTTAAACTATGCCTTGGGCCATTTTATTCTTTTCATCTTTTGTTAGTTTGTGACCGTAAACTTGACCTGTATTATGTTCAGGCTGGCTGGAGTGTGTGTTAAGTGTGTTGTTGGAATGTCGATGGTTTCTACACTGTACATTTAGTCTCTTCAACTAATGATTTTACAGCTAGTTTATTTCAACATGTTATGATGTTTTATGATTTCTTGTTGGTTACTCTGATATCCTTTGTATCACAGACGAGAGGTGGCTGACTGTAAACAACAGATCAAGGTGAAGGAAGACGTGATTGAGGGTTTGAGGAAGGACCTGGCAGGGGCCAATGCCAGGCTCACTGATATGGCTGGTCAGTACTGGGCTGCTGGTTCAGAGAGAATACTGTTACTGTGTAAAGTGGTGTATTCTGCAAGGTTTAACCAGGAAGGAAAAAAGACTGAGGAAAATTTCTGGAAAACAGAAAGAAATGGAGGGAGGGAGGCTTTTGGATGGGAGGTAGGGGGGGGGGAGGGGAAACGAAGGGAAGGAGGTGATTGGGAAAAGTGAAGGAATGAGAGAAGGGGAAATTAACTTATTAAGGAAAAGGTGGACAGAGAAAGGAAATGAAACTTAAAAGTGAAGTTTTGTGATGGGCTTGCCTTAGCCATGATTTGTACGGAGCAACTGTTCTCTATGCCACTCTCGGGGGTCAGAAGATTAAGAGATTAAAAGCACCACTACAGCTGTATGGTGGTTCTGTTTTTGTGTCAATATAGAAAAAACAGTTTCCATTGACCAGAAGTACCTTCCATTAGTGAAGTCATCTGTCCATGGGATCTAATTATAGGGCCTGCTGTGTGTCCTGTCAGATAAGATTAGATTATAGTCCAGAGAAACTTTTGTGTCTTTTGTTTCATTCTGTTGTGTTTTTAATTGGTAATTTGAGTTTGCAAGTTGGGGGCATACATCAGGTGGTTTACAACTGAAGCTGCAGTCTTGTGTTCCAAGGAAATGATGGAATGTGTCTGTTAGAGAAAGCTTTCTTTGTTATAGCCTTTTCATTTCAGTCAGGTATGGGTTTGTATGTTGCCGGGCAGTTGTATATTTGTTTGTAACAGTTACTGATAAAAGCTTCATGTTATGTCGTAAAATTGAGTGTTAATAATATTGCCACATAAGGTCCAGTAGCTGTTGCTATGCCCTAAAGTCATTGGACACATTTTGTATTTATAAGAAGACTTGGCAGCCTTCTTTAATTTTTAAGGAGCTTGTGGCTTATTTTAAGACATCTTGCCCGTTCCTTTGCCAGGTGAGCTGAGTGAACACCAGAAGCAGGAGTTAGAAAGGAACAGGAACCTGGTGAGAGACCAGGAGCTGGACCTGGCCAAACTCCGGCAGCAGCTGGCCAAGATGTCTCAGCTGGTTGACAAACAGAGTGGGGAACTGCAGAAGGCTAATGAGGAAATCAGGTACAGAACATGCCAAGTTTGATTTGTGAAATGTTAGGTTAAGAAAATTTTCCTTAAAAGGAAATATGTCAGAAATGCATAATGTAACTTAAAAACTACAACGAAGGTATCTGTTTATTGAAAAAATTGTCTGGGATTGATAACCTTTTGAATCTAATACCTGAAGGAACTTCAATGGTGTCCAAATACAGAATTCATCAGTGAGAAATTCTGTAACTTTAAAGTTTAATAAGAATTATTTTTCTCTAAGACATCTTGATAACAGTGAAATACTTTTTGTAACTAACACCTGACAACTGTTACTAAATGTGTTTTGGATCTTTATCTACTTTTCCATAGAAACCAGAAGCAGGCAGTGAGCAGTAAGAGTGCGTTAGCCTTGTCCAAAGAGGAGGAACTGGACAGGATGAGGACAGAGCTACACGCCAAGATAGATTCTATGGACAAACAGATAGCTAACCAGGAGGAAGAGGTAAATTAAATGACTTTACCAATATTTCTCATTTGTCCTTTCCTACCTAACAAATTGTTCTGATATCCCTTTACTGTGCTTTTTCTCCCTCATGTATTATCAAGTTATCGGTTTCTCCCTCCTCTCGGTTTTAGTTTTTTCTTCAATTTCTTGTACCTGTATTTATTCCTTTTCATATCCTTGTTTGTTGCAAGTAGGTAGAATCTTTGTCTCCTTGTGCATCACAAATCACATCCACCAGACTTGAATAAAATGTGCTGAACTTCATGTAATCACGCAATGCTACATGTACATGTACATCTAGAACAAATTGCAAGGTGCTTTCTCAACACTATTTAATTCACATTTGCATTAACATGCTTTTTAGTTGAAAATCATGGCAGTAGTGGCAGCACAAAATGCAAACAGAAACTTTACTTGCTTTTGCAAACTCATAAAACTTCAGAAAATTGCTGCATTGTAATAGAATTCAATATGATACTTACCCATACTCATATGCTCCTTGCAAAAGCAACGTACGGCAGAGGATCAGGTATGAGTGTTTAAAAAAATACACACTATGGCCAACTATCAACAGCAGAATCTACCTTTGAGTCACCTAATGATATCTGATCACAAAAATACTTTTTAGAACTGAATGTCTTAAGTTTTCCTGCAGATACTAAAGTCATAAACACAGAACCCACAGCTGAATTATCTAGTTGTTTTCAAGTACAAGGCCAGCATCTCTCATGTGTTTGTCTGTCTGTAGGGTAAGATAGCGAATGAGCTCCAGGCCATGGGAGCCCAGTGTCGTGGGGAGCGCCATGAACAAGTCATCGGTAGACAACGGGAGGCTCTGTCTGAGCTACGTGCAAGGATCAAGGCTCTGGAACAAGTCAGACCTCCAAGTAAGTGCCACCAAAACATTTTCTTTCAGTCAACTAGTGATTAAAGGTACATGTATCAATATTTCTGTTGTCTATAAAATTCAAGGTAGTCATAGTATAGCTTAATATCCCCTTATCCTTTCAACAAGTGGTTAAAAGTGTTTTTGCATTAAATTTTGAAATTTACATTGTTGTTTTACCATTTAAGTTTACACAGTACCTGAAAATACTTGTTTTTCAGACCTATAACTTTGTAACTTAATGTCTTGTCAAAGGTGATTTTGGTTCTGTGAATGTATCATTCAAGTGCTAGTTTCTACCCCATTGTTCTAATTTGTCCTTCATTGGTCAATAATGTGCTCCCAAATATGGCAAGTTCTGGATGATCCAGGTTTGTGTTGAATGTTGTAGACGAGCTGTAGACATTCGTGGTAGCTGTTGTGGTAGCTGCAGTACTGAATGTTGTCACTTGGTGGCACTGCTACCTGTTGATGCATCAATGGCTGTTGATTCTCTGTAGATGAGTTGCCTCTTCCTGATGCACGGCTTTAGAAGTAGACTAGCTACAGTTAGATCAGACCCGACTTCTTCAATCCAGGCTATGCTTTTTGTGGTACTCAGAAGGGAATGATGTATTGCTTGATGAGAAGTATTGCTGCTGCCTGTGATATCCTCTTTTGTGAGGATAGAATTTTCTCCCTCAAACAAAAAATGTTAGTAGTATGAACTGGTAGTGCTGACTTGGATTTCTCTCTTTGTATCAAGTAGAGTGGATTTATTCCTTAAGCTAACCGACGTCTATCACTGCAGTTTGATAGGTTAGATAGATCGGTTAGCTTGAGGAATGAATCCACCGTAATTCATACTGGATTTCTGTCTTTGTTTTCTGAATGATGAAGACTCTAACCCTGTCCTGTGTTCCTCAGTCCCCACCCATGAACAGGCCCTGCAGCAGGTGGTGTTATTGAAGAAGGAGCTGGCAGAGATGCGAGCCAAACAGGCCATGGCAGAGGACCAGCACTTCAACAGCACCACCAGGTTAGTCACAATCACATCAAACTTTTGTTTGTAGAAGACTAGATGTTAAGAAGTAAAATATGTATATGTACAAACTAAAGGGAATCGTATGATTCAATTGGTATCATTGACCATAAACCATCATAGTCATTGCTTTATTCTAGTACAGTTGCTTGTAGTTTTGAAGGTCTGAAATTTGTTTTTTCCGTGTCCTCAGGTTAGAGGGTGAGGTGCAGGGTGTACGCGGGATGGCGACAGCTGCCTCCTCAGAAGCTGCCGTTGAAAGGAGCGCCAGGATTGAGATGGAAGAAGCCATGGATATGAGCGAGAGAACAGTGAGTTTCCTTCTTGTGATCCTTTCTAGATTCTTTGATTTGAGCATGTAGAAGTACACTTTCCTTTTCCAAAATCATTGTTATGACATCCGGTTCCAAAGTTTTTCCACATCACACTTCTGACAACCAATGCCTTGTCGTCTCAGTATCTGGAGCTTGCTAAGAGAATGGCGAATGAGCTGGAGCTGAACGAGTTGGATGGGCTGAAGTCGATGGCTCACTTGCCGCGGGACGAGCGTGACAGGCTGGCGAAGGCGCGACAGAAGGCGATCGAGCTGCTGGCCAGCAGGATCCGCGTGCTCCACCAGAGGATCGAACGTAAAGATGAGCTCCTGAACGGATACGAGAAGGATATGTCAAAACTGAGGTGTGTAATGCTTTAATCTGGCCTTATTTAAAAGTTGTTAGTTTGCATGGTGAAGATTTGAATGTCAGCCTCTTAAATTTGCATATAGTTTTACTCGTAGTTTAAATCAGTAGAAATTCCAACTGCATTGATTGAAGAGTTCCTCATGTTTTCTAGTCTTTAATGAAAAAAGAATATGAGAGCTCTTGAAGAAAAACCTCAAACCATTGTGCATGTACACATCACAAAAGTAAAGTTTTGTTTGACTGTATGTTATTAACTTTTACAGACAAGCGGAGGGTTTTGCCCAGCAGAGGGCGGCTGAGGCATCGAGCTTCATGAAAGAAGCGCAGGAGAAGTCTGACGAGACTCGTTACCTCAGGGAGTCGCTCCAACGCACACGGGAGCAGCTAGACGCAGAGAAACGCCTCAACACTGCAATCAAACAGAGAAAGGTCTGTACTGCAATGTTTTAGATACATATATAACCAATCAATTACGATCCCGCCTTCAAGATACATATATACAAAAATGGTATAATTCTATTAGTAACAACGCAAAACTTTCTGTTTATACCGCATTAAAGGAAAATTATGGACAAAAACAATACCTCTCAAGTATACACAATCTAGATATCCGAAAAGGGATCACAAAATTAAGAATTAGTTGTCATAAATTAAACATAGAAATGGGTCGATACAAGAAAATACCAAATGACCAACGGTTCTGTCCATTTTGTCCAAACATGATTGAAAATGAGCACCATTTTATAATGGATTGTACACTATACAATGATAAGCGCCTATTGCTGTTCACCTTTCTTTCCGCTTGTTCAATTGATTTCAATACGTTAGATGCTATAGATAAATTCAACTACATTCTCAGGGGAGATAACCAATACAGTGTTCAAATAGGAAAATACATTAAAGAATGTTTCGATCTTAGAGACCACATGTTAGAGAATAGTTAACCTTTATTGTTACATCATACATATACTCTGTACGTAAGATGACGTTATCCACACATGTATGTAGCTTTGTTAGATCTTTAGTTAAGTTGTAGAAGACCATACAAAAGTCTCTGTACTTTTTTGTTGTGTCAATAAAGAATCCATTATATTTTTCAGTACTACACGTATATACCAGTACACTTTGTGTATACATATTGTACATGTAGCAGTTAACCCTAGGTTTGAAAATTTCTTGTGCCGTAACATCCAGGAGGTATCTGGTAGTAATGTGAGATGATTGTTTGATAAATATATCAATCATGTGTACCATGTATGATTTGATAACGCCATGATATGCATAACATTTAATACATTTTTTTTTTCTTCAGACGTTCCACCTAGAGGAGCATGCTGTTCAGTCCCAAGGCTGGCCCAAACACAGGTGTCCACCTGAGGACATACATGGAAGGGTGAGTCACATCTTTCCACTCCCTGATCAGTACACTTACATTGTAAAGGCCTCTTTATGTGTGATTTCAAACCGTCACTGCGTCAGATCCAACATGTATTTTCAAGTACATGTATTCAATGAATCTTGTGTCTTCAACACTGAAAGTCTAAGTACGTTTAACATGCTGACTCACTATACTTTGCTTACAGGCTGATGCCAAGTTAAGAAGCCAAAAGGACAAACTGAGGAGAAAGAACTATGAAATAGAGACTTTGAAATCGGTAAGTAGTCCGTGATTAGCATCTTGATTTTGTAATATTTTTCTTGGCATGTTCTCTATCATAAAATATAGTTTCAGGCCTTTGATATTAGATGGAGGCATTTACAATTTCATTAAAGATGTTATAGTAATAATAAGTAACTGAAATATTCTTTCATACTACAGCAACTTGACAGCAAAGAGCAACAACTATGTGATACTACAGCTAGACTGGCTAACATAGAATCTAGTTTGGTAAGTACAAGACATTAGTGTATGTATTTTTATTCATTCAAAAAGTATGCCAGCAGTAATCAAGTAAACAACATAGTATTCATATGACTGCTCATCAGAAATACATACGTTGCCGATGTTGTTGCCATACATCTTGTCCAGAGAAGTGATATGAGTAAAATTTGACAGTTGTTAAGGTTCATTGTTATTTATCGTTAATTAATGGTATCTCCAATAATGGGTTTTCTACTAAACCAGCACTGACAACTACAGAAGCCTTCGTTTCCAATAGCTTTTCTGCTGTCGGTACCTTCAAATATGACTTCCAAGTATCTAATGTCTTTCTCCTTTTTTTCCAGGGCCTTGACAACAGAGAACTTGAATAACAAAAAGACAGAGAAGTTGGACAAGGGACCACTTAGTACAAACATGTCACAGCAAAATAGATTTGTGTAGAAAATATTGTAAGAGCACTGATGATATTTTGTGTAGAGTTTTCGAATTATGCTATGATAGAAGTAGTAATGCTCAGGTACTTTAAAAGTGAATGGTGTGGAAAATTACTATTGTGTCAAGAAAAATCCTGTATTTTTCAGTTTTGTAAATATGATAGATATCTCTATTTTCACTGCTATATGTTAAGAAGAACACTATGCATGGGTGTTTAGATGTTTTTCTGTCTTAAGAAAATATTAATGGAATTAACCTAAGCTGTAAATACTTGTGAATATTTTTACAAATCTGGTAGAGGTAATGTTGAACTTTGATGATGCATGCAGTCATAATGCAATTTTAATATCTTGAAAGGAATAGATAAGATACAACCTTTTAAAAAATATCAATTTACAATTCATATCATTAGACAATTTATGGCTTGTTTTAAATCACAATGGTGAATATATAGCATTTGGCACAACTTAACAAACTTGCAGAGTAGAAATACACTATACATACTTCATACTTAGCTGCAGTACTTTTTAGTGGTGCTAGAGGTCGCTTTTGGAGAACACACCATTATATGAAGGAGTAAAAGAAATTGTGAACAGCTCTTGCTCAAAGTACTGGTCAGGAAACTGAAACAATTGATGATAATGATGATAATGAAGGTTAAACAAAAATCATGAGATTTTTAATGTACGTTGTTGAAGGTCATAACTAATGGTTGTCACGTGTGTGTTCGTGACAACACTTATTGACCCCCATATACCCTGGAGACCCGAGGATAGTGATAGTAGACACGCCTGACGACACATCCTCACATCGATCCGAAAACGTCTGCCACGACTGCTAAATTATGATACATTTCAGGAAATCTCACGCATGAGTCAGAATCAATAATGGCCAGGTGCCATGGTTTTGTAATGGTCTGTGTAAGCTTGTACATATTTTATGAACATCCTTATGGTTTTGTATGAGATGAAATTTGATTCACTGTTTAAGCAATAATTCATTTTGTTGTATAGAAATGGATATGACAGTCCCATTTGATGGGTCTGTGACATTTGGAATGATTGGCAGTTTTGTTGCACAATAATAGGTCGCAGAGGGCAGTGTGAAATGTTTGCTTATTGTGCTTATCTAGTACCTATATTTCTGTCAAGAAAGAAGCAAAAATAAAGTCTTCATACTTTGAAACAATCGTGTCTTTTTTTTCTTTTCCTTTTGATTTGCCTGATTATGTAAGGTAGTGTGTGGATGCTTTTGGATCAGGAAAAGAAAGAAAAGACGATTTGAAATACCCAAAAATACAACAGCTGTTCATATATACATGTGTTATACCAGTTTATGTGAGTGTTTCTAGATGTTTCGCCACCAATCCATTTTGTCACTGCAATAATTCACCAGCAATGTGGCTTCAAATCCTAGAATTCTTGAGCGGGCATATGATATAGCCGGCCAAGAAGATTTAGTTATTTAAACCTCCTTGACGATGTATCACTGTCCCAGTACTTAGGCTCGCTCCTGAAGCTTTGCCAAAAATTACAAAATCGCCGCCGATCCCGAAATAAGCGGGACGATCAAGATGTACATTGTAGACAGGACGATAACGGTCACTGACCTTTCTTCAAGCACAAGGCCAACTTCCTTTGAGTAGTCTCAGAAGTCCAAACATGTCCTTGTTTAGCCATTTTGCTTTGGTCACCAGAGACTTGAAATCGTGGTGTTAATTTAAGTGACCTTCAATAAGATTAACATCCGCGTAAAACCAGTCAAAACAAGATCGGCTACCAGAGAAACAAAACCGCGGTTTTGGGGATTATGATAAGGTGTGAGGCAACGATGGATGACAGGTGCTTGGGACGAAAAGAATCGGAGCAACTGCAAAGTTTATTATATATTATACTTGTATTATTATCATATAGATCCAAGGAGCTTTCAACTTGAAAGCTCCTTGATATATCTTATCTTTTCCTCATTTCTATATTTTACCTTAATCGTGAATAATTACTGTTATTAAAACACTTGAAATGCTACAGTATAGGTTTGAAGCGTTGACAACTGAAACAAGAAGCCCTAATTGGGAACTGTCCTTGGTTGTAACGGTTCCACTTTCCCATTTCAGCTGTGTTTCAGTTTTTTGCTTGTCAACACCCCCTAAACACAAGGAGGAAGACTTCCGTATCAGCTAGCTGACCAGAGGCGCCAGACCGTCCCAAATACTAGTATTACATCACCGTCTAAAAAAACTAAAGGGGATTTCCACTATCTATACTAGGGGGATCCCCGATCATAATTTGTCTTCCTGCTCCATAATGAGCCTGCGATATTTATTGCAATTTACAAGGTACTCAAATCAAAGTTCGACTTTGAACAAGTGAACAGAATCATACTTTTAATGGATACTATTTGAAGAAGCATTTGATACAAAGGGTATTAAAATAAGGGAGACAAAAAAATGCATCCCGCTCGACGTTTGAATGGAACATCCCTGCCTAGTGTAGCGTCAAGTTGATAAATTGTCTGGTGGAGAAAGCTTGGAATAGAAATGATAACGTAACGTTTTCCTCTGTATTAACATCCAGCAAACGATACAATAACGCCTGTAAATGTCAATCTGATATCGACTACACACAGACGTGGAAGGGATATCTTAAGGCTATTCTTGAGTATGCCTGTGTGGATGATTTCCTCTCAAAGGACCCTCAAAAAGTGAAAATGCAACTTTGCCTTACAACATCTGCTTGGAGATTGCCACCCCCCAAAGAGAGCTAACGCTTGATCCCTTTCGCGGGTCTTCCCTCCCCCATGCCCATATATGGATGACGTTGTGCATTTCAAATTCGCAGCCTCCCATTCATACTAATCACACCAAAGCGCACTGAGCTTCGAACCCACAACCTTTGCAGCCCTGGCCACGGGAGTCACGGTCATATCTCAGAGCTGTTTTTCTCATCCTTCTTATTTTTTGGAAATCATCCAAACTCTTTCACGGTAAGCTCCAAGGGTCCAAGTCGTTGTATCATTTTATTTCAGAAGATAGAAAGATAAAGACAGGTTTTGAGTTCGCGCCTGTGGCCGGAAGGGTTGGTAGATCGTTGTGGACCAAACACTTCCTGTTTCCTTCTCAGCCTGGCTTGGGACGAATTTTGCAGTAAAAGCATCAAACGAAGCTCCGGGATACCACAAAAATGTCTGCAGACAACGAGCTGACGGCCAAGCTCCAGAGGAGGCTCAACATCAACGAAGGGGACGAGGAGCCCTCCCCCAATTCTCACGTCTTCAATCCGTACACGGAGTTCAAGGAGTTCTCCAGGAAGCAGATCAAGGACTACGAGAAGATGTTCAAGACGTGAGTACTTACTAGGCTAGATTCTGAGACTTATACGCGTGATTTCAGGACTTATCTGCTGTAATCTGGGCTTCTGTTTGTCTGTAAATACACTCATCCCCGGTGTTTGCCAACAGAGAAAGTTTTTTTCCGTTACAGTAACACCCCCCCCCCCCACACACACACTTTTTTCTACCCTGTGTAAAAACGTTACATGTTGTTCAGTGTTCCTTTGGTCGTAAGGTGCAATGTATCATAATCATTAGGGTTAGTAGTTTCCTTGTAAGGATAGCAGATGTGAATTTGTTTTGATAGTCTTAGATCAACCAGTGCGGGATCAACCATATCATAATAATTTTCTGGGGGGTGAAAGACTTTTTTGTCACCCATGCAAGCAATTTTCTGTTTGTTTGGTTTCTTTTTAACATTTCTGCAATTCATTTAACTCATATATAGATGATATTCTAATTGAATAACTCCAGTATCTGAATGAGCTATTGTGTGCATGTTGATTGCTGGAAGTTATCATGAATTTGTTTACATTTTTTATTCACCCCTTCACCAAGCAACTGTTTAACGGATGTTAACTGTAAAATTATTGATTCCTTTGTCGAGGGCATTTTATGTGACAACTAGGTATTTTTCAAGGTGACAGAGAATTTTACATAATGTATTTCATTTGTAATAATCAAATCAAAACTATGTGCAATCAATGATATGATGCATTTCGAATATTCACTCTGATAGGCCTGTAGGCCCTTCAAAAGTTTCCATACTTTTTGGATGGTAATTTAGGTTGGAGAAATTAGATTTAGAGAGTATAACTATAGGATTTAACAAATCCTACTTAAAATGAACCTTTTTTCTAACCGGCTTTTGCTGTAAGAGTCCATGACTCTATGAGGTTATGAATGTTTCCACTGTGTGGGTTATATCACTAGCACTATGTATGGCCTACAGTAACCTTCCACCCCCTGGCACTTAGCTTACACCAATAACACATCCTATGACCTGTACACCGTGTGAAGAATATTTAAATCAAAATGGGCATTTTTCTAAGGCCTGGACTGCTAGAGATGTTGATGTTATTGGCAGTGCCAAGTGTTATAGTGATATATGTATAGGCCAGCATGGAAACCTCACAGGAAAAAACAGTGTGGTAATGTGGCATGACTCATGGTTTGTACAGTTGTGTCTCTAGTTGCTCCTGATCCTGTTTCCTTGCCCACATGGGAACATGATTTTTATCCTGTGAAGTAATGTCTCTCCAGGGGGAGGGCTGCACCATTTGTGACTAATCCAACCATCTGATAGCACTCTGTCACCCTGTGTTTTATGTGAAGCAGGGTTATATGTTTACACCAAGAAATACATTCTTTGACATTACACACAATGCTGTACCTTGTACCTTAAGTATATAGGATATCAAACCTGAAAGACCTTCCAGATATGTGATTTCTTGCCTCTGACTGGTATAATGTACGTTCTATATCAACGTAGTAGTGTATAGCGAGGCATGTATTTTTAATTGCCTTGTTGAAGAGGTCCATTTAGGTATCCCTGGGGTACACAGACTCGTAATTGAGCAGTAAGCTGACTGGATTGTGGGAGGTGGGAACCACAAGAATCTCCAGGGAGTGGGAGTCAGAATGTACACTGAACCAGACAGAAATGTCCCAGGGGTATGTTCATAAGTCATGAGGCTGAGATTCTTGTGCTAAGCCATGGCCATGGGCCTTTTACAGGTAATCTCCAAGCAGATGTCTGGTGGCAAAACGTTACAGTTAGAACTGGCCATCTAGTGAGTCCTCGGTCACCTTGACTTTAGAAGGTGGTAAATTAAATGGTAAATGTCTGGCAAATGGATACAGCCTGGCCAGTTTGACACTGTCTTTGCAGCCTCCTGATATGTGGTACACAATTTGTTCACATTTTTTCGGTACTGTTCTCTTGAAATCCAAGATCATAGGGAAGATATTTAATATCAGCAGTAGCAACAATGCATGTCTGTTGATTTTAACTCCCACTTTGTGTACATATTTAGAGAGCTGTTATTGTGTTAGACTTCATGTTCAAAGTCCGTTCACTACGAGATATGGGAAGAGCATATGACTTCAAGATTTCAAAGAATGTGATTTGATAAGAAAGAAGTGTTCAAAAATTAATTTTTGTGCATGGCGTCCCATTTCATCAAATATTCAATAGCAGACATTCTTTAAGTTAATTACAGAAGTCTTCAAGGGGAAGAAATTTAGTTTAAAGGAATATGTTCATGTACGATCTTCAAGGTCAAGTGAATTTGATTTAATTTAGCTTGAGGGAAGAAGACTCCTTAACCTCTTAATTGGCCCATCCCGAAAGTCTCTGAGGTGGAAAATTTCTTCAGGGGCTAAGATAATTGAATTATCTTATCAAAGCAATCTAAAAAGGCCAGATGGGGATCATATCCATGCATGATGCACATACAAGCTTGCTTGGCAGAGCGCCTTGTGGTAATGTTTACAGCATAATTTACAGGCCCCTACTTTAACAAATGCCTGAGGCCTTAATTAAGGGTTTGCTACAGGTAGTAGCATAACTGGTTTCACAGGTGTTATTTTGAAAACAAAAGTACCTGCCAAGGTGTGCTCTACCCCATAACATTGGAATAACCTGTGTGTAACAACAGCATAAAACAACAGCAACAACGATCAACAATTAATGAAAATTTTAAAAAGTCACCCAAAACAAACCTGGCCACATGTCATTTGCATGATGTTCAGTTTTTGCATGACCTGTCATCTGCTCTTGGACAAGAAAATGATTTTATCTCTTTCAGCAGCATCTATATTTAGTAAATGGAAATAGCAGATACATCACATACAAGCGTGACAATTTGTTAAAAATACAAATAATGCAGACTGCCAGTTTCCAGCTTTCTGCAATAAGAACAGTTCTCTGTCAACTGTATGAATTGTCACTTTTCAGCACTTTACTACTGCTCTTTGAGAGAAGTTCTACTTCATGTGTAGCATACAAAGCCATAAGTTGTCTGGTGGGCTTTACTTAAAAACTGGTACTCTATCAGTGTAGTTCTTACGTGTCCTGTGGTGTCTGCTTACAGGTCAAGTCTGTTACAGACAGATAAAGAGAACATGTCGGTCTGATAACAGCTCATCTGCATGTATTATATATATGGCTGATTATCACGTTCACAGATATTATTTTCTAAGAGCAGGAGCTTTCTTGATAACCAAAGGGGTCGACATTTTTCCTTTTATGGCTTCTTGATTATATCCAGACATGATGAACTATTCAGGAGGCGCCTAATGGATTATTGATATTGATACGGTCCAACAGGAAGAAAAATAACTCTGTGACCTTGCAGTCTCTTGGCGGAAAGTGCAAAGTACAAATAGCAGTATGTTCCTGTTGGTGTCAGCTTAATGCATTGTTTGCTTTTCTGCAGAGTATTTTTTATTAGATTTTCATTATTTGTTCACAAAATATGAGGGGCCTGCAGATAAACTTGTATTTGGAATTTGAATTTTTTTAGATCTACTGCTTTTATATCCATAAACAAAAATTAGAATATTATTATGTTAGGAGGTGAAAAGGAAGTGGTATTTTCCTACTTTGTTGTTGTGAGACATGCTAAAGGGATATTTTTTGAAATTCATAAAATTATTTTCTTATCTTGGGCCAACCCCACAAGGAAATCATTAGGGTCACTAAGGGTCAGGGCACTGGTGTGGCTGACCTGGGTCACTGGACAGGACTACTGGATGTTTGTTGTCTCAGGGAGGGAAGGGGAGGAGCCACCACACTGTAAATAAACTGTCAACAGACTGCCTAAAGTTTATCTAATTTAAATGGGTTGTTGTGCTCTTGTAAAGGAGTCTAATTTTTTTGGATAGCAGTTTCTGATTCACGATTTCTATCTTTATGTTACATGTAATGTTACTTGTACTTGTTTGCTTTATTCCTGAGTTTCAAATTCAAGTGCTTAAAAGTGCTTAAAATTTGTTATAGAATTTTGCAAAACCAACTTTTTTCATATCGATGTATTAGTAGAACCCAGTAGTTGTGTGTTGTCAATCTACAAACTTGTAGTCTTTGTGGTCAATTATGTCTATAAATATTCATGTTTGACTGGCGGAAAGTAGCTTTTAATGCAACCTTGGACTGATTAGGGCGGTCATGGCTTTGGAATTTGGCACAGTTTGTCAGAACTTTATGTGCCAGTGTGATCTGAGCCCAGCTAGAGGGACAAGAATTTCATTCATGGTGACACAGATTCTTAGCAACAGGGGCAGCAAGCATTCTTCCCATAGTGGCACTTATAAAGGACAACAACAGCAAATGCCATGGTGTAATGATACAGAGAAGCCCTATCATAGTGGTACTTGTATAAACAGGACATAAAATTCCACTGTACTGTAACAATATACATGTCATGTACATGTACTATGATGTAGTACTATAGCAATATAGAGTTCTAAAGCCCTTACATACTGGTGCTTACTAAAACAGGGCCTAAACCACAAAGGGTCATAAACTAAAGAGTATGAAATTTATCATCCTCTTCAAATGTCCTTTAACAGTCAATTACACAAAGGTGTTAAAATTCCAGCTTATAATGTTACATGTATGTATCTTGTTAGGGTGGGCATCAGATTTTCAATACCTAAAGAAAGTCAAAGAAACTCCCTCTGATATTGACTACCTTGAAAGAGAACCTCTTTCTGTTTGTCTTTCTTTTTCTGAAGAGGTCTTGAACTGAGCAATGCCACAAGATTAAGTTGGATTTGTTTTGGCTAATCCGTGGATGTTTGGAGCAAGTTAGATGTTTTCCAAAGGCCTAGATTGTGACAACAGCAGTAAAATGTACCAGCTTCCTCCAGTTACTCTTCCCAGAGCATGTCAGACGGTGTAAGGGGGAGTATGTCTTACTTCACACTACTTTCCACCTGTGCCTAGGTTGTTTGTACTATCCTGTTGTACTGTGGTCTGTGATTCTTGGTGTAAAATATCTGCTAGTCTATTGGGAAATTAGAAAGCTAAAAGTTACATACTACTAACAGTACTTCTAGAAAGTGGAAAACTGTTGTTTTTAATGTCAGAAAGAGATGTACACTTTCACAGTTCAGAATGCACTAAATGCACTATACGCAACAGATGTGAAGTGTTGCTGTGCCAAACATGTTTCCTGGTAAAAAGATCTGCTGTTCCTCAGGGAGCATGTTCGATTTCCCCCAAAGAAAAACAGACCCATGCATGTTGTCATGAGCCTGCCAGGACTACTTGGGGAAGACGGGCTGATTGAGAGGTGAGGTAGGAATTTGACCTGGCCGTGGTGCTGCCTAAGAAAACCATGCTGAACTTTAAACCAATTCCCTTTAGCCGCCGACCCTCAGGGATATGTGAACTTTGGAGGTGTAGTATGTAGTTAGGTAAGCCCCCTGGAGTCAATGGCTACATTGTATATTATGTAACACACCCACCAGTCTGTAATTACCTGGGGTGGGCAGCAGGGGGAAAGACAGCTCCAATTTTGATTTCAGTGGCTTTACATGTACATTAAGGGGTGCTGTCAAAATAGGGCTTCAGAGTGTTAGAAGTTCCAAAATTTCACTGGGAAAGCATCCTCCCAAGTCCACACACAGAATCCCCCTAAACTTTCCTCCTACTCACTGAAATGTACAGCTGAAGACGTTGTTTTCATGCATGGTGAAAAGCTGTCCTTGAAAGATGGACTCAGAGAAAGAGGAGAGTGACACCTTAACTGACCCTTATCTATTTCCTCCTACAGGCCCAGCTTTCTCACAGCCAGGGCTTGTCATGTGGTGAAGGGAGTGATTGTAGTTTGTAAGCAGCTAGATAGAGAACCAGCCATCTTGTTTGAAGGTCATGACACTTATGCCTTTGTTCTCTTGGTTCCAAAGGTTCCAAACAAGGACAGCCACTGAAGGTCTTTTGATGGAGTCCCCTACTCTCCTCTCATACTGTAAATACTGAGCATTCTACCATTGACAGAGGGTTCATTGTTGCCTTTCCCCTTAAATCTCTAAAATATGTCTGGCATGATTTTTCATATTTTATTAAATCTAACAATAAAACAGTACTTTATACTGGATTACATTAGCAAATTGCAATGTTGTTGAAATTCAACCTAGCACCTCCAAACCCTAGTGAAAGTAACTTGTTATACTGATGATGTAAAATGTAACTTAAGGTTTGAATTGTGAGGTACTATCTACAGTGCTGTATACAGAGGTTCATTAAACAGAAATGATTGACATGGACCAGGTTGTATTTTTTCCTGGCATCCCAGAAAAGCTCAAAAGTGCAGGCAAAGCTGTTCTCCTGATTGTGACAGATGTACCGAGGTGGCCAGGTTAGGTATAGCAGGAAACAGCTGACAGCTTGCCTTCTTTCTGGGGTCCTGTGTGATGTGTACCATCTTGTGCTGTAACATCACACTCATTCATAGGATCCAGAGAATTAACCTTTCCCCTGCTACTTAACCCCATAACCCGTACAAATTTCCATCAGCAAGAAGAAGGTTAATGATAGAACATGTACTGGTAACTCTGAATGTGCTTCAGTAAGGTTCTTCCACTATAGTATGATACCAAATTTAATGTCTCCTTTCTTATCCTTTTATCATTTTCATAGCAATCTCTTCCCTCTTTTAGCCCCATAAAGATTCCAGAATATTTGCTGAACTTGGCTTTATCTGTAGGCTTCAGGCCCCATGATGTGTATCAGCATTTATCAGGCCCCTGCCTCCATCACTCTCCCTTCGCTGCAAACATTTATCAAGATCATTTTCCCATTTAAGTGAAAATCTTGACCTCAGGTGACCTCTCTAAGCCGGAGGTCACTCTGTAACATTGCAATATTGATGAGTCGCAGCCAAGTACACAATAGATCACCACCAACAGTGCCCAACACAAAGATATCTCCTCGGACGTTTCTATCAGAATAAAGAGCCCGTCTCCTTGCCATTGTCTTGGGGGCTGCAACACCTGTGAGCTGTCAATACCACACGTCCTTGCCACTTTGTAAGTGTTGGACTCCCTGTGGTGATGGGGTGCAGAGGGAGTCGCGTCAAAAGTTAAAGCTGATCAGAGAAACGTTAACCGAAGCCTGCAAACATTCGTGTAATGTGTGCTTATACATGATGTAGTCAATTCTGGCAAATTGTTTGTATCAAAGCCAATTATTGAGGATAGAAGCACTCCTTTGAAGCCAAACACAGTTTTTGGTATGGCAATATGTTAGTCTTCCCAAATAAGCAGTACACATTCGCTGCTAAAAGGCAAACCCAGCAAGAAGAAGCTAAGGTTAACAAGTACATAATTAAGTAGAAATCCTGACTTGAACTTCATTTTGGCTTAACCATAACCCCTTTCACATCCTCGGATAATTACCATGGTAAAACCAGGCCATTATCCCAAGCCATTATCTAATTCATTCTTCTCGTTTGATAACATTACCTCAGAAATAGGGCGGCAGTCAGCCAATTTGGAAGCTAGATCGATGGCATGTCATTAACAATTAACACAGGGCTATTTCTGTTCTAGTGCCTTCCTGTGCTGTCATTGCCTTCCTGTGCTGTCATTGCTTTAATGGCCTTGTGAAAAGATAGAGACAAACGAGATGAATTAAGATTAAATGGGTGCATTCCTCTGTAACCTTTGTCACTTTTCTTGAAGTGGAAAATTTAGGTGCGAAAGCACTCACAAATTTTGCACTTTCTTAAGGCTTTCAATGGGAGATGTGCAATTTGGTATATTGGTGTGATGCTAAGTAGTAATTTGAAATCTTTGGCCATGGTACATGTTTGCCAGTGTCATTCTAAACTTTTCAGTCAACTTTGATAACTTTTTTTGTTTGTTCATAGTTTGCTTGAAAACTCCACTTACCTTTCCTTAGAGTTGAAGTCAAGTTCAATGCTATGTAAACCACCTGCTGTATTCCAAACACATGTACTCAGGTGCAACCCTGCAGTGCCCCATATTGGACATTATTTGATTTGTGCCTGTACTAGGTATTTACTACATGCCTCCTGCGTCTCACCATGCCAACACAGGTCACTTCCAGTTTCTCTCTTATTACATGCAGGGGTTCAGTAAATCAGATTAGACTAGTGTTCTTGAGGCCGTGGAGACTTGCCCCTTTAACCTTGAGGTGCTGAATGTTCCATGGGATTTGTGAACCTGCCTGATTTTTAGTATAGTTCACTGTTTTAGACAGTAGCTAGGGCACCATCATTTTTATACCAGGGCTCCCATACTCACTCCCTAAAATCGTTTTTCGAAGCTTTATTTCTAGCGAGTGTAAGGAGCCCTGTTGCAAGTTGGATGCCACCCAGACTACTTCGACATCCCAGGAATACCAAGATGTCACCTTCCCTACCTTCCCATGGTGCATCACTGTAGGTGGTCAGATCCCAACTCTGATTGGACAGAAGTTTGTCTGGATTTCACGTAATAGCTTTCAGATGAGAGAGAAATATATGCCATAGTTCAAGCTGTCAAAGCAGACACCTTGCAAATATTGATGACAGAGTTAATGTTGTTAATGTTGCTCACATTTCTACACCGGCTCTTCTTTAGTCAAAGACGTTTTGATTCCAGCTGCCAAAATGTCGATGTCCAAGAAAAATCATGGCTTCCTGCAGTCTTCCTGCCAACAAAAACACCTCTCATCACTTTGTTTAACCTAAGGTCTCCCTGCATTGCCCACGTCTGATGGCTGGGGCCTGATATTTACGTTCATTTGGGGGTGTAAAGGCAGTGTTATGACTCCCAGAAGATTGATGTAGATTCCAGGAGGGCCAAGAATGCAGTGGTAAGAAGTCCTCCCATGGCAATGATACCAGTGTGCACAGGCCCTGGGGTTGTCTATAGGGGATTAGGTGTGATTAGGAAGGATCGTGGACTTGACTACTAAGTGCAGGAGTTAAACAAATGTTATGATCCGTAATAAACAACTGGGAAGCACTTCAATCAGTCAAAGAAGAAAACCTGTTTAGAATACAGTTTCATATGGTTTAGAGTACATGTTCAAGAAAACGTCTATTTTCCTATTTGAAGTTTTATATACTCAGCCATAGAGATTGCAGGTACAGATACAATGTATGTCTGACATTGTGCAACAATTTTTTTATGAAACATTGGTTCTCTGACTGATACATTGACATTGTGTATAAAGTCAGTCTTCAAATAGTTTTACTCTTGTAAACTACTTACATCAGATTTTCACCCTGAATCCTTTTATCTTCTATTGGTCCACCTTTTAAGTAAGTAGAAGCACTAATGTCAATAAACATCATATAAAAAGATAATGGTATTGGTGAACTCCATTAAATCATGTACATTCTTACAAGTAGACCCATGTTTATCAATGATAGTGGATTTTATACATGTATACTTAGTAGATATATTTATGAATAATACATTTTATCCCACTTGCTTATTTTATGGTAAAATTTACAAGTACAAGATTGCCATATGGCTACAATGTTGCAATGTCCATAGAGAGGATCCTATGATATTGTGCAATCTTTTTGATACCTGCACCTCTGTTGATCCCACAGGTATGATGTGGACAGGAACAACTTGATTGACTTTAATGAGTTGAAGCTGATGATGGAGAAACTGGGGGCTCCTCAGACCCACCTGGGCCTCAAGGCCATGATCAAGGAGGTGGACGAGGACAATGATGGTGCCATCAGTCTCAGAGAGGTGGGAAGCTTCTGCTTTTATGTATTGTGATGACGCATACTGTATTAGTGTTCTAGCCAGCATCCGTCTTTCCTTCATTTGACAGAATTTCGCTGACAAAAATTTTGCCCAATCTGTCATCTTTGACAGACACAATTCAGCGTGTAAAGAGATGGAAAGAGATGTCATTCAACTAACCAGCAAAATTTGCCCCTCAAAATGCAAGAAAAAAATGTTTCATATTGTCAATTTCCTGGGGAAGCATGCCCCTGGACCCTCCTAAGATTGTCACGTTTAGTGCTCAAGGTGATATTATGTCAGGAAAGATAGAAGAGTTAGTGGAACATTTGGGAGTTACCATCTATATAATTTTGCTCTCAGCAGGTAATTTTTGTCCGGCCTGCTGAAGATTTGCTATCCCAGTAGGCAACACTGACCTTCAGGACTGTGATCATGACCTTCATGTGTAGATGACATGGCTGACATGATTGGTGGTCAAATTAACCATGTGGTTTATGTTAGTGTTTTCATTAAAAGTAAACCATGGAAACTTCCTAAAGAGTTAAAACATTATGTTGCAAAAGACCAAGGACATTATACAATGTCTCTGAAAAGACCAAGACTTGTCTTTGACATAACATATAGAGTTTTCTTTTAATTCTTACATGTACAACTTGCATACTACTTAATCAGACAACAGAATCTATTTATCATTTTCCTTCCTTGAAACAGGGATGCTACTATGTAGTTTGCATATCTAAAATAGGGTTTGAAAATGTTCTCCTTGCACTTGCCCCCTAGAGTGTTCTCCAACTATCATTTGAATGATTTTAACCTGCGTAACCGCCCACATTGTTTTCAATTTCACACCTTTTAACAACACTGGACCTCCTGTTACATCTAATAAGAACACATGGACCCCCCTCCCCACCCTCATTACACTAACCACAGCATCACTTGTGTCAGCATCTCTAACACTTACACTACATGTACATGTGTTACAGATTTGATAGGTCACTGCTAATGGCCATGGCGGTGCCCTCTGATAAAGTAAAATTTTAGATCATAGATAATCATAATCAGATACTAAATATAAGAGAATGCTAGAAGGGGTGTGTAAGAAAAGGTGACTTCCTATGAGCTATTATTATTTATCATACAATCATGATAAAATTGCCATGGCATGCATTTTTACTTGAAAAACAGCCAATAGAACAAGATGGAGGCTACAAAATATTTTGTAGGAACTAAGAAGTAAGATGACTAGATATTGTAGAGCCACATCCTCCTACTCTGATGTCCCGATTAAACGTACCGGTACGTTTATTTTTTTCGGCCCGAACGTCCACCCGGTACACTCTTATTAGGGACGGTACGTTTATTAATTTTTGGGGAAAAAATTGTCCATACGTACCGCACCATCAGCAAGTGGCCGGCGGCCGCAAAATTCGGCAACACGTCACAGATAAATATTTGGTCCATGATAGCGGCATTTCCCATGAATATAATGTATATTATTTATTTTTCGCCTGCTGTCCATTTTTAAGTCCCAAAACGTATGAAAAAGCAAAAATTTGCCCACAAACCCGAAGGGGAAGGCGAGTAGCTAATCGATGTATTTAGCACATGGCGGCCGCAAGTCCTTGTCAAAATCGGCAACGCGGCAGAATAATGCCTGGTCCATTTTAGCGATATTTACCATGAAAAAAACGTATGTGGTTTATTTTCCCTCTGGTGTTAGTTTTTAGGTCCCGAAACCCCTAAAAAAGTAGAAATTTGCCCACAAGACGGACGGCCGACGTGGGGAGGGCGCCTAGCGCCTGAGCAGCATGACCCGTAAAAAGTCAAAGGTCATAGGGCACCCATATTGCGCAATCACCGTAAAAGCGCCGATTTAGCTAATTTTAGGGCGTTTAAAATTGATACAATCACATTATCGATTTTTAAAAAAACAATGAGATGGAAACCAATCAAAATTTTATGCTGAATAATATTTTTTTTCTTCAAAAGTTTTTTTCTTCAGAAGTTTTTCTTCTTCAGAATCCAGACTTTGACCAGACTAGACAATGTACCATACCAAATAATTATTATGTTGAAATGGATTTTGTTGTACATATACTCATTAAACCCCTATATTTGTACTTAATTGGGCTTGATTTTCTATCTCTTAAGTCAGATTTTCAACTCAAGTTGCAGGAGAAGGCTTTAAGCAAAGTGCATTTCAGAAGTGTAAAATGCAATAGCTTCTCCTACGGAATTTGTATTTCACCAAAACAAGTACAATATATATACTCATTAATTAAAGTGATATATACTCACTAATTAAATGTAACAGTGAAAGATTTGCTCATATATTGGTATTGAAATAAAGAGCACATTTTAGTATCATGGACACACAGTTCACCTGTCAATTTGGTCATTTTCAGGGGGGTACGGTTTATTCTGGAGGGTATGTTTACTAGACTTTGAAGATTTGTCCAGGGGGTATGTTTATTCCGGGGGGTATGTTTATTAGGGACACGAGAGTAGATTTCCAAATGTTCCCTGTTGAGGCCAGTGAGAGAAGGTATGGAGTATGCATTGCCTCAGTCACACCTGGAGCAAGGAAAGTGGGCAAGAAGTTACTGAAAACACATCAAAGCCAAAGTTTAGACAAAGCCGTGTCCCCGTGGGAAGCTCCCAATTAAAGGGGGATTAAGTAGGATTAAGGTAGAGTCAGGGGTGAAAGTTAATCCAGGCTCAGGAGACCTTTAAGTAACCTCTTACCACTCAGACTCATCCATCAAACTGACAAGGAGGGGAAGGATTACCCTTCCTGTCTAACCTTTTCTTTGATCCAACCTGCTTTAGGCTTTAAGATATGAGATTCCTATAAATAAGGAAACACACAGGTATGTGTGTCTTCATGTTTACATGACAGAGATTTTTGTGCTGTGCGAGCAAAAGTTACTACCGGTAGTCCTGTGTGGTCATTATGAGTTGTTTGTAAAACTTTATTGGACAGGTTTGGTATATTTATTGAAAGTACATTAAAAACATTGACTAGACATGTTTGTTTGGACAAGGCTTTGGACTTGAAAGTGAGGTTGTTTATGAGGATTAACTCTGTATGAACTTGGCTTCTGGTCATGTCAAGTTCGCTGCAGCTGTACAAGCTCCTGCGAAGCATCACATCGAGTCCTTATTAGTTTTCAAAGTTGTCAGAAAGTTTCTTGTTGTACAGCTTTCTGAAAATGGTATGTCACAGTTTTTGATGCAAATCTCTCTGAAAGATGAAATCTTGTGGAATGTTGATTGTTTCAGGGGTAATCCTTGCTACAGGGAGTTTTTTTGTTTCTTCAATTAAAACCATTTGTGTTTGTACCTCCCCTATTCATTCCACTTCCAGGCCTATAACTTGCAATTCTATGAGTGACAGACACTGTCCAGACAGTGGTCTGGCAACTATGAAGGTGAAATAGATATAATGAGGTTTAAACCCAAATTTATAACAAGACTTATCTTACATGTAGGATTTATGTGTATGAAGGCTCTTTGCTTCAATTGAAAACATTTGTTTCAAGTCGGCTGTCTCTCTGGAATGGATAATACCCATTATGATCAAATCTCTAGATTTAGCACTCTAGGTACCAATATTTGAAAATCGATGCAATTGCCATCAACAAAAATTTCAATACCAAGATTTTAAACAATCTAACTTTCAATACCAAGATTTTAAACAATCTAACTTTCTTCCATACATTGAGGGATTTCTTGTCACTCCTGGCAGATGGTATGTAAGTATGAGCGGTCTGGGCACAAGCGTGTGACCCTTGACCCGAGGAGGGCCTTTTCAGGTCATCCTTAATCCTTTAATCCAGGTGGGATTAACTTTTACTGATGATGTAAATAACCATGGATAATGGATTCAACATACCAGCAAGGCCAAGTGGAAAGTCATCCCACACACCAAGGGCACAGGTTACCAGTTACTGTAGTAGTAGTTTGATATTGGTCAAAAAGTATAGAAGCTAGTTGGTCTTGATCTTGTGGTATTTCCCTACGTTCTTATGAGAGATGAGCATTCTTCCTCATCCTGCAACAAATTTTCCCATTTTATCACACTGAATTAGCCTTTAGCTACTAATTCTCTGTCCAATAATAAGATGGGCAATAGGGAGAAGGTTATTATAAATGTTTTTTGGTATCAGCAACAATTTTGCTACAATGTACATACATGTACTGCATGAGCTTTACTTAGCACTGAATGGACTATCAAACATTTTGCCAGCATTTTTCATTGATTTTTAGATTCGACAATGAAAAGTAAGAGTAGGCATTTTGAAAATCAAGAATCTAATGATAGAATACATGTACATGATCAAGATGTTTGTACTATAGTGTAGATACAGACAGAAGGATTAGATTTGGCCTTGTACATACCCTACTGTCCCAAGGTACATGTATTACCAGAATGGAGAGGATCACTGTCACTTGACAAAGAACAATTAACAAATCCCCTAAACACAGTTAATCCCTCTTGTCTTCCTATGGACAAGGCAAAACAAAATCCTGTAATTCTAACCCTAATTCTACCCTCTGATAAACTCAGGAGATGGAGACAATAACATAATCTGTAAACACAGTTAATCCCTTCTTTTTGCAAGTAAGGCTAACTAAATAAATGGTAATGTCATACATTTTGCATGTTCGTGTGGCCCTGTCACACAGAAGTTGCCAGGCTTAAGTCACTTGCATCAGAGGGCATGGATGGGGTTTTTCTAGACTTGTAGAAGGGGTGAAATAAACCATTTCTAATGCCCATATATTATTACACTGTATGTATGCATACTATGCATAAATGATTTTGACAATGTTAAAACTTTGTACCAGTTGATCATGATGAACAGAATTGCACTGGAAATGTCAAAAAAATCTAATTGTTAGTACGTTTGAACTTTCAGGTGCCTATTCACCTCCTTCACATTTATTGACGGACTTGTCCATATGAAAGTGGAAGCTAAACCCCTCCATACAGACCCTCCCAAATCCAGACCTGCCTGTGTCCTGTCCTGGAGGAGACAGTTCCTCTAATCCTCCCTGTCAGCAGCCACCAGTCCTGGGGACTAACTGTTGCTCCCCACCCAGCCAGCACAGAAACACGAACTTCTCAGAACAGCAGCTGAATCTACAGCCTTTCTTTCTTGTTACACGTACCACCCAAACTTGACAATGGTTTTATTCAGTTATGCCACATTGTCAGGCAATAGTAGAAGCTTAATGATTATGCTTGAACAGGTGGTATTGAAGAAACCTTACCATTACAGACCGGATTTAACATGTATCAGTCATACCGGTAGGTCTTGTTGTAAATTACAGTACAACTGTATGATCATGAAAGAAACTACGATTAGCAGATGAGAAATCTACCTCCAGATTTGACGTAAAGGTTAAAATTCCAGAAATTTCCAGAGGCCTAAATGTCAGAAGTAGGTCAGGAGAGGGTCGGACACATACAAATGGACATGCGTCAGTAAGTGTCTTGTAATGATGCACCTGTTACACTCTATAGACAGCACCGTACACAAACCTAATCCCTCTCTGTCCTCAGTGTAGGATGTAACGAAAGCAGCGTCATTAATTCTCACGTCCCTCTTTTTCCATGACTAAGAGACTATTGATCTAAATGAGACAAAAAATCCTTATTTGACAACATTGCAATCATTGACAAGGTATATATATATATCTTAATATCTTACGTAACTGTGTAGGAGAATGCCAGCATTGTTTTAGACATCTATTAGGTTGCTTGTCAAAAAAAAACACAATCAAAAATAGGGAGAAAGTTTTGTCTTCCTTCATCCAGTAAAGCCACAGTCTCTATTTGTTTTTGGCACTGTTGGCGAGCAACTACATGTACATGTATATCAGGAAGCATCGATCACACTTCAAATGTTTGACAGAAGATCTCACACATTGATGTATTACTTCCTAACTGTGCTGTATCAAACTCTTATCACTGCCTCCTTCCTTCAGATATGGGGAGGTTGTGAGAGGCAAATATGGGTCTAAAGTAACACCAGTCCTGTTATGTCTTAAAGTAGACATCTCCTGTAGATATATGACTTTCTAACCCAGGTCCATCTTCAGGGTTAAGCCAGGAGGGCAAGGGTCATTTGTCATTCTGGTGACCCCACATGTCCAATGGGGAGATGTTAGCCCCGATAGAAACGGGATCAGGAATTCAGAGGTAGTGAGGATGAGAGATGTGCAAAATAACAGCCTCTGATATCAATGTAGTACTTCAGTGGTTTGCCCATTCTACAGGGTTGACAAGTCCAGTGCAATTTGAGGCCAGTTGTAACCTTGCTTTTCCTACCATATTACTCTTCACAGCAGTAACAAAACACAAGTCAAACTACACCCCCACCTAACCCCTGACCTCAAGTGTAGCATTGTCAAGAAACCAGTTGCCGTTATTTTCAAGCAGCAGCTCAAGCGAATCAACCTTCTTGCCTTAAGGCCTAAAGGGCATCTTGAGTAACACCTGCTATGTCTTGAAGAAGGTGCCACCTGGCAAGACGACCTTCCAAACTTTGTCCATCTGTAGAACCAGCATGGAGAGCTGGTCATCTATTTTTCATTATCAGTTACCAGTAAATGAAATAACCATGAGGTGTTGAAGCACTTCCATATGGTACAGTATGGATTGAAGGAGATGAACATCAGAGATGAACTGTTTTACCAAAGGAAAATTCTGAAAGTTCTAGAAAAGCTGTCTTTTTTTTTTTCAAGTTACTTACTTGGTGTTGAGGTTGAGCAGCCCCAGACTTGAAGGACTAGGCCTTTGTCTCAAGTCCCAGGTGCCATCCCTCCAATGTCTCTCAGTCCCAAACTGAAGAAGAGCAGATACAAGTGTTGTATATTTGAAAACACATCAGAGATAGATTTATTTCTTCCTACACGTCCTTCCAGTGATAGTTTGAGGACAGAGCTCACTCCTGTCTCTGATCGCCCTGTTGTGTTGTGAGAAAAACCAGAGGTCTTTTATCCTAGGAAAACATCCAGAATACTGGTACATATAGATGTATTCTATCCTATTTCCGAGCATCTTTGTTTGAGTGTTACAGCAAGCTTTAACTGTTGTACGCTTCCTTCAGAACAGTCCAAAGTAGGTCTGATGAGAAAATTCAATACAAGCTGTTTATAAGAGCAACCTATACAATCTAGAAACAGCAGGAACATTTCTGGAAATATATGTATGTTATAGTGGGACATGGCTGCACATTTGTCATAGCAGTTTTATTAGAAACATTCCCCCTTCCCACCTCCAGCCCTCATAACTTACAAAAAATTTAATCTAACTGCCATCCTCCCCTCAGTCTGCCCTTCTCAGGGCAATTGCCTGCTTCTGGGACAATCAAACCTCTGCTGCCATTTCACTTCATCTTGTAATGACAGTCAGGGAATGACTGCTAGCATCTTTTCGAACACTGCATTTTGGCTGGCACTTATGTTATAGGACTGAATTTTAATAGAACCAATTAAAGACATCTTTGCATAATTTCTACCTATAATTTCAACATTGTAGGATACAGGTATTTGGATACTTGGATACTTGTCTTGAACAAATTCCAGACTTCTTGAACATGTAGCTATTATTTCATTAATAAGTATCAATCACAAATGGATCTATGGGTTTTATTACTCACTTGCCAGTCTGACAGAATTCAGGTTACTGTGACTGCAAAAAACATCTCAAATCAATCAGGTACACAGAATACACTGAACTGAGTCAACTTCAGTAACAGTACACATTTAACACCTGAGATGGTCCCTGCTTCATACTTACACGTAAGATATGAAAGTCACGTTTATCTTATCTTAACTGTACCATCTCATGCTGCACTGTCTAGAAATAATGTTCCCTTAACTTTTACCCCTTATGGCATCAGACATTATATCAGTCCAGACATGTAATGTTGCAGTCCAGACTTATCAAATCATAAATGAAGCCATGTATTTTCCCTGATCGCACGTTGTGCAATTAGTTCTCGTTCCAATAAGAATGTTCATCTATCACTATTTACTGATTCAGATAGATCATATAAGAGATTCTCTATTTTGGGGCAGAAATGATAAAGATTCCCCTTAGCAGTGCATCTACTGGTGCAATGAGAAGGTGCACAATAAAAAAAAAAAAACTTTCATGACTACCTCTTTGTAAGATTTTTGAGTAGTTCTAGTACACACAGGGAGCCTTTAGTAGGATGTAGTCGTAAAATAGAGTACCGGTATTTGTTTTTCCTCTTTCATGACATGGAGCTTTCACGCACTGGGACAGATCTAAAACTAATGTAGTGGATGGATTACAAGAGATGCCTGGGCTGACATAAAATGAAGACTGGTGCATGTTCTTCCCTCTGCAGTTTCTCCTGATCTTCAGAAAGGCAGCGGCAGGAGAGCTGCATGAAGACAGCGGGCTGGGGAAACTGGCCGAGCTGGCGGAGATAGACGTCGACAAGGAGGGAGTCAAGGGGGCCAGGGACTTCTTCTCCGCTAAGGTTTGGAAATGTTCATCACAAAATTGTAGTTATCATAGCACAACATGTGAGTTAGTCCGGCAGATGGTAGAATACATGTATCTGCCTAACAGAAGCTGGTGAAAATGACTAACTAGTTGATAAGTGATGAACAGTGCAGATTATAGACTTTGATTCTCCCTAACAGATTGGCCTGTATTTTGTTGGGCAGACTGGGTTGGTTTCTTTATGTGTCAAGTACTAGTTAGGGCAGAAATATGTCTTACATGCTAACTTCAACCATTTTTCCAGTGAAGCTAGTTTCCATTGGTCTTAAACATGTCTCAAACTGCAGAAAGTTCATAAATTTCAATACTCATTGATTTTTTTAACAAAAGCATTTTTCTCATTAGCAAAATTGTAGGCTAACTGAACCTTAACTGTCCATCCTGCACAGATTGAGGAGCAGTCGAAGGGAGCGAGGTTTGAGGCTGAGATCAAGGCAGAGCTGGAGGAGAAGAAACGGGAGGCAGAGGAGCGCAAGATGAGGAGGCAGGCTTTCAAGGAGAAACAAGCTGCATTCATGAGTGCCTAGATAAATTAAAACACCCTAACTAGCCTGGGAGCCAGACTAATTTTGATGGAGGATTTTGACGTTAGACTAGATTTGGTCTTGAGGAAGAAGTGTGGTGCCTTCTGTACCATCTGTGTTTGTTGTTTGGACCCTCCTCACGTTTGAACTATGGGTAGTACCAGTAAGTGGGGATGTTTGTATTCAGTGTATGGTTGTGTGTATTCCTTTCGCTAGCACCACTACTGTGAAGAGTCTAAGCTTGTCGGTACTACCGGTCAACTGTTTGATACAAGTGAAAGATCAGCCTAACATTTCAACAGAATCAAGACCATTCTGATGACGAACATCCCCAAATCCTCATCATCTCCTTCAGAACTCCACCTTATACATACATATAGCACACCCTGTACATGATGATTAGACAAGAAAGCAGTAATTATTTTGATAGACCTGAGATGTGGAGACTGAGTTTAGATTGGTCTAGCTCCCAGGCTTGTTTAAAGACATGCTACTGCACATATCAGCTGCTTTCAGTCTCAGAGATTGGCCCTGAGGTTTCAACTTCCATCCTGCCTTCTGACAATCAGTAAACGTAACACTATATTAACCCCCCCCCCTCCAGTCTGAAATACCACCATACAAAATGTACATGGTTGGACCAAGGAGATTGAAGAGAGATTCTTGGTTGGACCTACAACTTAGTCAGTCGATCCTTGTCTGTTTCTGCTAAATGTCTGCTATTTCAGTCATATTGCCTTACAAAGATACAATTGCTGAGAAAATACTAAGCAACAAACTCAAGTCTTCTTGTACATACAGTACTAAGCAAAACATTTGATATGTGCAGTTAAACTTAGACGTTAGAGATGACTGAATCTAGATAATATCAGCGTTACAATCATTGCTGACTGCCTTAACATTAGGGTGCTAGCTTATACTGTCACCCTGTTCTTCCAAAGGAGTTACTCTTGTGGTGAAGATTTAGAAAAGAGAGAAGAGTTGTACAATTTATTTTTGATGAAACAGGAGTGGTTTATTGTGAGTGACCCAAGGTCAAAGATAGGGAAGGTCATGAGGTGATTGGAATCTGCTAGATAGTCTAGTGGTGCTTTTGCTATCTAGGAATGGTGGAGAGTTAGGCGAAATACTTGTGTACCACCTTCTAGAGCATTCTTGTATTGTAGTAGGGATTATAAAGAAGTGGGAAGTTTCAACTAGATAGTGAATGCATTAATGTGTTTTAGGTTTGATCAGTGTAATATGGATGCATTTCCAGTTTGGCAAATCATTCCATTGTTTGATCAATTGCTGAAATTTAAAAAAAAGTATATCACGTATATGTTTAACCAGATGTGACATTGGTGTCTGTGGTATCATGATATTTAGTTATCTATCACATTACTACATGACTTTACCCTAGATTGTTAAATATATGACTAAATGACATTAATTAGAATATAAAGTTGTTTTCACACCTCTTTCTACCATTCCACATTTGGAATCACTTTGATATTCCTTATCACTATCAGGATACATATATTGATTTTTTAAAATTCATTTTAAAAGTAGGGTTTGTTGAAGTCTGCTTTCATGTACTCATTCCAGGCAAAAATGCAAGAGGGCTATGGTTTCACAGTTGCAGTGAGCTAAGATATGATTGAATTTCAGAAATTTATTTTCTTTGGTTTAACATGTTTTTGTACGTATTCAATATAAGAATGTTGTGTTGGAATTATTGCCTTAGAAGATATCAAGTCTTTAGATAAGTTGATTATCATTATATTCAGATTCTTGCCACAGCTACCAGATTTTTGTGACCTACCTTGCTTACCACCCTGCAAAATTCATATGAATTGCACCAAAATTGTTGCCTTCTGTATGTTGCCTTTCAACTGTTGCTTCCACGTGTATGGTTTGAATGAGCTGCATACCTACACACTTCAAATTGATGAAGATATGTTGCAAAGCAAGGTCCAAAGATGAAAGGATAATCGGGTAAAAGATTTGATACCAACTTCAATGTACAAAACATGTTTGCAGGCCAACCTGTTATAACCTATCTTTTCTAGAATGTTGTTGGACAAACAATCAGTTCTACATTCTCATTCTAGTTTTGCCTCCAAAATGCTGTAAATTCAATTCCACATTCCAAGTGCCTCATCCTTTCATGGAGTAATTCCTTGCTTTCGTAAGTTGGTGCATTATTTGCTGCCCTTAAATTCTCATCCCTCTCCCTGTCAACTTCTGCTGTCACAAGTCTCGGTTTAGTGTCAGGATGATCAATTTTGGAATACTATACCTGTGGGATTTATCTACTCATGGAAAATGCTCCCAGATCTCAAGGCCTTGACTATTTGCATTCTTCCCATGCCAATCATAATTCAAGGCAAAACAGCAAAACTACTGGCCTATTAATCCCGTGTACATGCATTTTAAGCAGACTATTTTTGAAGTGATGGTATTCAAATCTGCAACATTATTTTGGAGGAAAAATGTTCATTGATCATTACATGAATCCACTGCAAATTGTTAATAATCATTCAGAATATGTAGGGTACAAATAGTAAGTACTAGATCAGTTATGAACTAGATACCCCGGTATATCCTTATCCTTCATGCTCTTACCACGGACAAGAAAGTACATGAATAAGTACCCTTTCCCTGCCCTGAACTGTGCCTTCTGCTCCAAAAACTATGCTAATGCACATGTATTCTAACGTTATGTCTTATAAACAACTAGAAAGGCCAATATTTGCTTTGGAGCAAATATAGCGATGGGTTCACCACATTTTACGACATGGCAGGGAAAGAATGAGAAACACAAGGGAAAACAATGATTTACATTGATATAACTATAATATGAAGTAACATACAACTAAAACAACAGTTGGATAGCTATTCCCTACTTTATTGGTTAGGATTTTTAATTGCATAATGCAAACTGTTGATTTTCAAAAAAAAAAAAAACGTTCAATGCCCCGCATTCCAATGCTGGAGCAGAAAAGCTTGAAATACCTACCAAAACACTTAGAATAAAGACATACTGTCAGTATGGAAATGCTCTGTGCAGGTGTTAATCAAGTTAAATCCCAACAGCCAATCAGCAAGAAATGCTCTGTGCAGGTGGAAATGCTCTGTGCAGGTGTTAATCAAGTTAAATCCCAACAGCCAATCAGCAAGAAGTATAGAGGAAAGCTGCATGCCTATTGGTTGATGCCCTGCATTCCATTGTGATGACTCATGCCCAGACGTGGTAAACACGGCACACTAACACAGTAATACATTTGCTATAACACAGCCAAAAAACTCAAATAAAACCATTCTAAAAGCCTGTATCACAAAAATTTAAAAAACGCCTAGGGGTATTTGCCCACTGTACCTCCATACCAAATTTCAGGACCTTAGGCCCTAAAATGAAGAAGCTGAATCCGTTTAAACTAGAAAGGCCAACATTTGCTTCGGAGCAAATGTAGGAATTTCACTCCATACCCTTCCCCAAACAAAAATGAGAGATTCTAAATAAATCATACTGCAATTATACAAGGACAAGCTGTTTGAATCTCGACAGGTATTTACAAAACTGGCACTTGGCAATTATCCCCTTTTTTTTTACAAAGATACAACGACACGCACTTTAAATCTCGACAGCTTTACTTTACACTTTTGACGAGATTGTAACTACTACTAACGGAAGCAAAATTTTCACGGCCTGAGAAAAATGGACATGTTCACGGAAGTATATATTCACGGTGGTGACAGTTGCAGGAAAAAGAAAGTCCAGGAATTATTTCCTAACTGTAATGATAAGTTCACAATACAGAGGTGACAGTGAAAACCGTGAACATTGACCCCCCGCTTGCGTTGCGGTACAGTGAAAAAAAATCGGGAATTACAGCAATCAATTTACTGAGTATGTTTGCTTAGTTTCCAGATGTTTTGTACTTGTAGTTTTTAAATGAACGAAAACCGATGCGCGCACAGATGTTACTTTTGTGACAACATCAAAGTGATTTTGGTTTGTATGTTGAAAAAATACAAAAGACTAACATTCGAAGTTATTGAAATTCTTGAGTAAGAACAATCAGTTTTGGAATGTTAAAAGCAAAGCGATGGATATTAAAACGAAAATGTTAAAATTAAATGTTGAAATTGTTAAAATGTAAAATGATTAAAATTGTTGAAATTGTTAAAAATGTTAAAATTGTTAAAAATTGTAAAAAGGGTAATTAAAAATATCCAGTGTACCGGGGTTCGAACTCGCAATGTCTGGACTTGCAGCTCTGCGCGTTACCAACCGAGCTATCTGGACGCGTTTCCATTACTCTCTGCATTGTATGTCATATAAAGTGAACAACATGGCGGTAACGATCGCTTCAAGTACTAGTAAGGGACTTTCTAGGAGATTTCCTTCTTTATCAGGTTCGCTTTTGAACCACCGGTACCTTGATGTAACGTAACTATCAATCCGGCTAGCAGAAGCCGCCGGCTCCCTGTCCAATCTTTGAAAACTGTCGGGCATGCAAGCCCTCAACGCTCGCTTTAGGAAAATTTGCCAGGAAGCCGTCTTGCGATGTTCTCAACAATGTTAGCAACAACAAATGGACGCCTGTACACTCTACAATTTTGGTGATTCTTCAGAAATCGATAACAGAATATATAATACTAGTCGGTGAAGATTGTGGAAAAATTGTTGATACCGTGGCGCGCGCGCGTGCGCCGACGATACACATTACGTACCGTTGTTTACAGTACTCGCGGGGCGCAGGTCATTGACCTCCCGCTTGCGTTTGCGTTGTTCCAACAGAGAAGAGCAAAATATCTGCCAGTTTTTGCGTCAGATTTTCAGTGTTTGTTAAAATCTTATACAGGCATCCATGCAGCTATAATTCTTCCAACTAGTTCTTAGTTAGGTGAAATGTTTATAGGAATCACACGAATCGGTATCCAATATCAGAGTATCAAATAGTAATGGCCCACGGCCGAGACCGCGTGGACCAGCCGATGGCCCACGGCCGAGACCGCGTTGACCAGCCGCGCTGGTAATCCCCCTGTTGTACGTGAAAATGGTAGTAAATAAATTAATTAGCCAACAGCCAATCAACAGCCACATCTGCAAACATGACCACACCTGCTTGTATGCCCATATTTGGGCCTTCCCCCGAATTCCTTTCTTATTACGTCACGCGCGTACGCCCCCACAGTACTTTCCTATGGGGACCACTAAAAGCAATAAAACAATTGTAAAAGCTTGTATCAAAAAAATTTAAAAAACGCCTAAGGGTATTTACCCACTCTACCTCTATACGAAATTACAGGTAATTTCGCCCAAAAATGAAGGAGTTGAATCAATTTAAAGAAGTGGCAGGAGAAGAAGGAGAAGGAGAAGAAACATCAGAAAAAGCAATATGGGTTCACCACCACTTCGTGGTGTGGTGAACCCATAAAAAGGCACTTCACTTGCAAATGTTGTGTTTGTGAGTACTAGTACTAGTACCTGGAAGTAATTTTCTTACTTAAATGATCTGTCTAATGTTCATTTCTATGCTGATGTTGGTTGCAAGATTTGCAGGCCAATAAACCTTGTGTGGGTGATATAGCCTACAACATGGACATTGCAGTGTCATTACTTCTTTGTCTTGTCTTTTCCGTAGGATGAGCGGAACATATTCATTAATACCTAATGAGGTGAGAGCCATTGGAAGGTCACATGAAGTGGAAGATGAAGTGCATGGATCAAAAGCGCCCTCCAGCAGTTCAATGAAGGACTGCACCATGATAACGGCTGCTTGTAATACATGTACTAATCATGCTGCAGTGATTTTCTTGTCGCTGTGGGGCGCTTTCGATCTATTGCCATTTCAATACAAGGCCCACTGACTGATTCCCCCAATACATTACCGCTTCGGCGGTTTTTTGATCCGAGGAGATTTAACTGGGATGCCTGTTATACGTTAACAGTAACCTGCACAACCAGGGCAGCGTTTGTTTTCTAGTGCGGTTCAGGGGGAGAGCTATACCTTCCAGAGAACTTTATTTCTAGAGGTATGCACAGGAGACAAGGTGCCTGTCAACTACTTTCTTCTTCACGTAATTGGATTCCAAAGAAAATGGCTCAAGAAACATGGAAAGGGACAAATGACTTGGCACATATACTTTAATGTACAATATGAACAAGGTGTAACATAACTCTGTACAAAATGAGTTCACAACTTTTGTGAAGCCGTCTCCATGAGTAACTGTTTAAAACACTGTTTCAGAAATGCACGAGTCTTATTGAACCATCTTTGAAGTATTCCAAGACAGTGTAGCACAAAGGTGTTCTTTCAGTTTGGTTATCGAGACATCAACAACAAAAGCAAGATAATTTTGATGCACAATATTATACAATCATTACAATTTTACATGATTCAACAAACTATATACAAGAACTACAAAAAATGCAAACTTTTTTTCAGTAAGCAACAATTCTTGCCAAGTACCTCTATGGGTAGCACTTTGAGAACTTTTCAATCAAAATTTTGCTACTTTCAGACTAAAATAAGTTGTTCAATCTTTTTGTTAAACGTTTCAAAATGTTTCCACTCGTTTGGGTAAGTACTGTTCAAAGAAGAAAAAAAACTAATATGGGGATTTTTAAAACTCTCCCCTGGAGTCGTAGGGTTAATAATACGACCTGTCTCTTTAAGCCAGGCTCTTGGTAAGAACAAACTTCAGAATAATACCCTGACAATCTTTTACTGCATGTCAGTCTTTGGCACTTTTACAATGTCTATCACACTTCAAATAATGGCTATGTTTGTATGCAGTGTTCCATAGCTATACAACATACATATTTATAGATATATAGATATATATGTATTGTGGCACCACTGAGTGCGAATACTAGGCTGTCTACTGACAGAGGTAAGTTTGCCATAACCTGGTCCGCGTCTCACTTTCTCTGTAATGGTACCATTCACCGGCAATTCACAATAGTACTGGGAAGTCCAGTCTCTGCCTCGTACAAACTCCGGCTGGAGAATCTCTTACACCAACTGCAGTTACTTCCAAATGTACCATACACCATCTTTCTGAGTTACCATACAGCTTAGCTCTGTACACCTTCACAATGGTCCCTATCTACCATTCAGCTTAACCCTGCTGACGTCTGAGTTAGGAATGACTCAGAACAAGTCTCAGAAGTACAAATTGCACAGCTAATTTCTTCTATCGGCAACACTTGCCATCCACTAAGTTTACAGGCACTACAGTTGACGAATACGGCACTAGGTTCTCTGTTTACATAGAGACAACGCTTTTCGACATCTGTACATGCAGTGCTTGTGTGATTGCAGAGATCTGTGGAGCTGTCCATATCATTAACTATTGCTCCCTCGCCAATTCTAATTTCCAGAGCTTTGTGAACTTTTTCCTCCAGTAGGGTTCATGTTGAGTATGAAGGGGGTTGTGTAGTCTTCCATGCATGCGTCCTTTGTTGCAGCGTTGCATAGCTAGCTCTCCTGTGTCGAGAACTACACCCTCAGCAGCAAATGTCCTCACAATGTCTGTTTGTGTATTGCTAGGCTGTGGCTACCCCTCCAGGAGGTACACCACCACCTCGTACACGGCCATCATGGTCGCAGTGTTCGGGATCTGTCGCACCAGCTGTGTTTTCAGTCCACGGTACAGGGCGCGGTACCCTTCCTCGCGTGCAACCGTCATTACCGTCTGGAAGAACCCGTGGTACTTCTTGCCTTCCTGCCGTAATCTTGTTCTCACCACCTCTGTAGGAACAAAAAGGGAGAACATGTTTTATTTGTCACCTGCAAAATGATGTCCACAAGATAAAAACACTTCTGTCTATTAGAAAAAAATGAAGGATTTCCTAATAGTAGCAAACCATGTATCAACAGATATGCAACATAATGGGTCAATGTTATCTATTCACAGTTTAACAATTACAGCCAACAGGTGTCAAACAAGTTTAAGCCAGTCTCATCCCAAATTATTTCAGCAGTTTCATGAATTAGGAGGGAAAACCTCTGGCCAAACGTCTTGTTTTCATGACTTACTGAATGACAAAAGAACTCACCATGAGGATAAGCTATGCAGGTGGCCAGTGACTTGGATACAGCTGCCACTCCCATGAACTCCACAAAGTCCTGCCAAGTCTTTTCACAATCACAACATCTGTTCCGAGCTATCATCTGCTTTATGTGCTCATAGATCACAAAGTGAATCACAGTCTCTGAGATCCCCGCGTACGACGCGGTAACTCCACGGTAAAATCCACGCAGTCCTTCCCTGCCGTAGGTTTTCCGGACGCAATCCCGCACTGTCAGGTTCTCTCCTGTTTTCCTGTCAATAAAAAAACACACTTAGCACTACAAAATGTTCTACTTATTAACATGTTTCCTTGTAATACTGACAATACATACAGGTTTATTTCACTATGTTATTATGGTTCCACATACTATGACAACCATTTTGAAGCCAATGTTTCTCTTCAAGTTCTGATAGTTTGTTCAACAGCAACTTAGTATCACCATATTTTACAACACTTTACATTACAATCTAAAATTGCTATACACAATCAAGGCATTGATTTATGATTCAGAGCAATATCATGATTTGTTCACCTCAAGGCAGGCGTGCTAGAATGCTTTTTCTAGAGATACACTTTTCTCTACAACATGACATCAAATGAAACCATTCATTCTAATATCAGTTCTAATAACAGCTGAAGCAGGCATCCACCATCTCATTTCATAATCACAGTCATAGACTACCATCAGTCAATTCAATCAGATGTAGCAAGTCACAAAGCATGGCAGCAGCAGGTCAGATTTGGACATCAACAAATCCATATTCAGCTGGCTGAATTGTCAGAATTTGGGTAAATTTGAGAGAAAAACAGAATGGTGAAACAAAGGTAGATGCCGTACTGTGCCTGTCTAGTTTGGTTCAAGGCAGAGATGACATACTTCTGGTCCAGCTGCAGTCTCGTCTTGACATACCAGATGGGGTTGGTGAGCGTGCAGGCTGTGAAACCTGGGAGGGCAGGGGAAAAGGAAACAATTCAGAACAACAGCCTACCAATCCACAAAACTGTGATGTTACACAGGCATGGTCATTAGCAACTGTAATCCTATACCTACACAAGCCACAGTACCAGCAAAGGTTATGTGTATCATTTATATTTTCCATCATATTAACTAACAGGTGTAAGAAAGTCATTCATTATCAATGTACAGTGGAGCAAGCTCAGTCACAGCTAGAGAAAGCTGATCACTTGTTTTTGCCAAAAAAAGGGGATAAAGCTGCGTAAGTATCCATTAGCAAGATTTCCATTCAAGTTTTTAACCTTTCAAAGAAAGCACAAAGGTGTTATTGTCAATATCTGGGGTAAACCTTCCGTCTTGTCTCAGTGCCAAATCTAAGGGCCAAAACACCTTTGTTCACAAAGACCCAGACAAGCCCCTTTTGTTCCTGACATTTACACTAGGTGTGATGTCAGACAAGACCTTGGACATGCGCCAAGTGAACAAACAAATCAATATGTCTGGCTCAAAGGCTGTTTTTCAAGAGCCCTATATTTCTTGCCCAGTAGTGGGGTCCAAACTACAGCCATGGCATAAAAAGTGGGAGGTGCCTGTCACAGTAATTACTTTGTGGGTGTTTCTGTCTGGAAGTTTGGGGGTTATCTTCAGGTCATGGCCATTTAGTTGTAGGTGCTGCACCTTACAGCCCTCTCAGGCACTGTCTTACAGGTGGGTAATTCAGCAACAACATTTTGTTCTGGCTGGGCGCATCTACAACCGTAGGGCACCAGAATTCAAATCTTGTACTGATACAGCTCACAACTGTCAGTCATGACAACACGCAGCAATAAACATGATAGCATGGGGTCTTGCTAAGGTGAGACAACCTACAGTAGTCAGTAAATACATTCCTTAGTAAGATAATTACAGGCTGCACATAGCTTACATAGTCTACCTGACATGCCTAAGGCAAACACATTAAAAAAACCTGACCTGAGAAGTTTATACACCTGAAAGGGACTTCACACCTGCTGATCATGTTTAATCGTACATCAAGGTGAAAATGGTCTGTTACCTGCACACATTGCAGAGCACATGTGGACGGCACTGGACTCATATTTCAGGTGTCTGTTGAAGAACTTCTTGGCCTGAGCGTAGGTGCCAAAATAAATGGCTCTGTAGAGAGTGGACAAAACAAAACAACCAGTTACACAATGTGCAATGGGCCAACATAGTGGAAATCACAAATTATTGAAACTATTCTCTCCTGATAATTTTTTTCTTCAATGTTTTTGTCAAATTGGTTCACGTATGTTCTCTCCCGACTACTAAAGAGAATATCTGAAGACAGAGGTCCAAATTCTGAAGTCATCACGTATTAATTTTCATGGCTTTTGGCTTAATACAGATGAACAATGAGAAGAGACAAATGAAATAAGCCATACTGAAATAACATGCAGCATAAGCTTTGTAATCAACAAGAAATGCAAATCATTCATCAGATCAATGGGAAGAAAACTACATTCTATAACATCATCATCATACATGTACATTCTATCTTATCTTTACAACACACAAGCATAGGAAATATAGCTTATCTGTGATGCCAAAAAATTATCCATGGACCTATTTTGCCTATGAGCAAAGGTTCGGCCAGAGAAAAGTTAATCCCCAAAGCCTATTAACCATTCCAGCGTTAAGCCAATGAGATTAGGATTAGGGGTAGGACACAGCAAACAGGCAGCTTGTAATAAAGTCAACCCCCCTCCTATAACCTCCTAGCAGCAGCACATTGGTAAAAAAAAATTCCCCTGAATTTTAACACAGGTTCCAAAACAGAAATTTGGCATGTTGGCATATACCTTTTGATCCAAAGTGAAACAACACAGGATCAAAAGATATGCCAAATATATCTCGTGGAGTTGTTTCACCAAAAACACATTAATACAGTCACCATGTTTCCCCTGTTAGATACACATAATCTAACAATGCTGACAATTTTCTGTTACAACTGTCCCAGCCAACGATATAAAGTCTATAGTTGATTGCCTAGTATATCAATATCGGTGCTGGTATATGTATCTAATGGGAGAAACAGGGTTCCAAAACATTGTCACAAAGAAGACAACATATTCATAATATGATAAAGTCTGTTTTGCACTTTATCTGTGCTACCGTATGTAAAACAGCCCACTCACGCTTAACTAATGCGAGGGACGGAGGGAATTGCCATATTCCCTATGATATTCCTTGTATCCTCCATATTCCAAAGCCACCAGCTGAGGAAAAAAAACACCACTTCCAAAGCAGCCATGCACAATCACAACCATCCCTTTAAATAACCAAGACATTAAGCAGTGCGCGTTATTTACGGTTAAAAACAAGGTTAGCAAATTCCAAACTACATTACTGCTTTATATCAAACGTAATTGGAATGGTGTACACATTGCCCAAAGCTCCATAGGTCCAGCTATTTCCAGATCAGAAAGATTTGTTCTTCATGCTTGTCTCTTTTCATAACTTTTCTCAACATGCTTTGTACAAAAAGGAGGTGAAGTGTTGATTGAAGTGGGAAGATCTAGGATGAGCTATGGGCTGTGGTACATGACACACATCAAAGGTGATTTTTATATTTGATTCACAGTGAACTTGCCAAAGGTGAAATAAAAGCCATACTGTATCCTGAACTATAGCAATACTGTATGTAGATCCCGTTATAGAAATCATGCAGTGAGAGGGGTGGAGAATACAACCACACAGTGTCAAACTCAAACTAAAACTTGCTGGTAAACGTTAGATATCAACATAACCAAAGTTGTGTTGTTTAATGTGAATGGAATAGAAAATAAATAGTGTTGGTCCTGGATACTGTGCATCACACATAGAATAGGGGCAGAATCAAGGGCAGCCTGGTCTCAAATCGGAGTGTGACTTACCTGGACGGTGCCACTCCCACCAAGTTGGGCCCCAGGCCTTTGAACAGAGCCAACACACCTTCATTCTCCACAATATGTCTGAAAAAAAACATGTCCTTACATTAAAAACTATGACCGTCATTTTCACTCATGAGTTTGTTTACCAACTGTCAATTCATAAAGAATACTTTAATTTGTAGGAGATAGAAACTAAATTGCTTTTACCTACATATGTATTTGATTTAATTTCAAAGTTTCATATGTAATTGTTGAGTACCTGGGGATAAGATCTGATATCATTTTCAAGTATAATATAACCTCTATTAGGCTCTATACTTTATAACATTGTGTCCTCAGTAGTTAAATAGTACCCAGCTTATTGGACTTTCACCTTTCAGGGTCACGTTTGCATGAAGGCAAATATTATGGTCGTGGGTTTCACATGGGCGATGCATGATCAAAGGGGCTGCTGCTATTGGTCAACCAGCTCACTGGGCTGGACTCTGAACAATGTCCTGACGTAAGTGGCGCCCGCTTTTAAAATTCCACTCTTCACCATAACAGTTTATGTTACTGTGAAAGAGCTCTGGCATGATTGATGTGCCTTACACACATAACAGTACAAGTTTTAGTACAACTTTTTCTAAATGGTAACATACGACAGAGTACGAAGTATTACAAAGGGCTATTGTTGTTAACTCTGCTTAGTTGCAATTACAGACATAACAAATTTCTTATCTTGTTAATGTACATTCTTGACAAAACCCACAAAACGACAAAAACATTCCCAATTCTAGTAGGAGTACTTAAATTGCTAGAAATAAACAGCCCTATAGCTATAAGTCCACCACAACACTCCAGGCCAGTTTCCTGAATGACTTTTGCGGACTAGTGGCACAGATATTTTAAGCTGGGCATCCTGCCAGTTAACTGTTGGATCCTGTTCCGCGGGCTATTTTAGGTGGGCCAATGTCAGCACGCCCCTGCAGGGTGATGGAAAAGTTTGGACATCCCCAGGGACAAGTTAGTAGGGAAGGTTGATGGAAAAATTTGACCCGATATTGGTAGTCTAGAGGACTGATGGAAAAGTCTGGATGTCTGACCCTTGATGCTGGTGTTTCCTTACAAGGCCAGGAGCTATATATGTGTGGATATTTCAACATCTTTTGATCCTCCATTTCTTACATGTACTAAGTCCTTTAGGGGAATCAAGGTCATCCAAGGGAAAAGTACACTGCAGCAGCAAACCTATCAACCATTAAACAGGGCTCGAAATACTTTTTTCAGCCAGGTGGCGCATGTTGCCACCTGAGTCAAAAGCCAGGTGGCGCCATCAGTATTCAAGTGGCAACACTTCCAAGTTATCATTTTCTTCAAATCTGCTACTTATATCTATTACGTTTTCTTCTAGTTAACTACTTAAGTTTTATGTTATAAAATAAATGTAAAGAACACAAAAGCTCTCAAACAACAATGTTTTAATAAAGAATGCCACCTTTACATCACTTCATCACAGGGCTGCCGCCGTGGGAATGCCACGCCTCTACATGGCAGCACACTTATGCGGGTGGTGTTACGTGCGCCATGTTCTTCGTTTGCGCAAGGATAATGTTACTCTCATCTGCCAAATAAACATACCCCCCGGAATAAACATACCCCCCGGACAAATCTTCAAAATCTAATAAAAAATGGTATTAGTTCCCTTGATTTAAAAAAAAAAATTGGGCATAGGTTCCCCGGATGACCCCTAACCGGGGGCCAACGGTGCTTCCACAAGTTCAACAAGTGAACTTGGAGCAAATATTCCCAGAGGTGTTACTGACATTGATATATTAAAAACTAAACCAAATCCTATTTCCCAAACAAATCACATATTGACACAGCTGAACAAATAAAAATGTGATCATGTCTATACTCCACTCAAAAACAATTTTTGAGAGACACTCGGGTCGCGGTACTAAGCGTGGTAATTTCTAATATCTCATCTGATTCTCCCAATGTACACATGTATTACTATTAGGGACTTCACAATCACAGCATCCAACCGCACTAACACAAGAAACCAATAAATTCGGGAAATTTCTCAGTAATGTTTGAAAATTAATCTTATTAAAATACAAGTGAATTTTTATTTCAGTTGTAGCCCAAAAAATATTTTTCATACCTTTAAAGTTTCGTTTTAGCACATTGTAATATGTACTTAATACATGTATCTTGTACATTTGGGTGCTATCTTGACCTTTGACCACTGTTATTGTGAAACACCGTCGGCCATCTTGTCAGTCTCGCCGCTGATTTTCGAGCCGTTTTTTCGAGCAAATTTCAACCGTTTTAAACATTTTACGGCCTCAAAAACTCATATAACGAGGAAAGCAAGTTGTAGTTGTTATTTTCATGCGTAACATTTCTTCTGGGGATGGATTATTTTTCCGCCGAGCTGCCGAAAACTTAGCGTCGCATGCGGTCGGGCGGCCGGCCGGCAGGATTTTGTATCGGCGCGCTTTGCATGTAAACAAGGACAGTCGGAGTTGTTTACATGAAAATTGTGTTGTGAAACGCCAGCGAGGTGTCTGATTTTCTACCAATGAGAACGTTTTCTTTGTGGCGTCATGGCGAGATCGACAATTCATCGTCAATTCACAAGATTGTGCCGACAATGGGGCCCGATCCATGCGATTAGCGGCTCGATCCACGCAAATTATAGGTGGCGCGCTGCGCCACCTGAGTTTAGGAATAAGTGGCGCCAAGCAAAATCAGGTGGCGCCGCGCCAGTGCGCCACCGGGTATTTCGAGCCCTGATTAAATGATGTAATACTGATGTTGTTGATAATGACATGACATGACATGACATGACGCTGAAGAAATTAACACATGGCATCACACTAGATACACTGGCTTTCTGGTACAATTTCTAGGAGTCAAAATATTGAGGATTGCCACATTGTGGGGCATGGACAACATTTGTGACTATCACAAAACATCACAAGACCAAACCAACTGTGCAGCTGTGGTGCAGACTGCACCCTGCTCCCATATCAGGGTTGGTGCTTACTGCTACCAGCCCCAGACTGGATTCCATGCCTTTGCCGCAAGGTTGAAGACAGGTCAGATTCAAAAGGCCTTGATCGTTTTAGTACATCACCAAACTGCATTTCAAAACTGAACTTTTGGTGTTACCAAGTGAATAAATTTGTCACCACTGCAACAGTCTAAGTATAATACATGTTAATGATGCTAGGTGTAGGATTGTTATTTTGTAGTCTTCCTGCTATGCGAGCTTATGTTCCGATGAACTCACAAAGTATATACAAGTGCCACACACTAGTTCCGTTTTGCTACAAGACCACAAACAACCCAAGCATAGTCATGGAATTAGAACATTTCCCTTCAGCTCAGAGAAGTTATGCAACCACAGTACCGTAGTTCCCTCAGGCTTTGTCATGTTATACAACAGAGTGGTGCCCATGCCAGTCTGTGGACATTGTGAGAACTCCCCCAGATAAGATAAACATTGTCCAGCAGGACTATCCTGGGAGTGTTGCTAAGGTCATCGCAGGGTGGTCACCACAGGTCAAACTGACCACTCCATGTGACAAACACATCACATGGTAATCCCTCCAGGTGACCTACATTTTGTACATCACTACATGTATAATGTTACATATGGTCAACTAGACCACTAAAGGGATCAACACATTGCATTGCAATCCCCCATTCTCAGCTTGCGTGTTGGTTGTACACTAAAATGAGCTAAAAAATAATCATCTTTTTGCTCAGTTAACCTAGGCTAGTACAGCCTAGTATATACTTTTACTATTTTCTCTATGTAACTGTTAATTAACATGAATACAGAAATGCACAAAGCTGTGAGTTGGCTTACCTGATACACTGTACTATTCCGATGGACGGCCTTGCTGTTGTGACGAATGCTTGTGTGCTGGTCTGGGCACATGTGCTGAGCTGGACGATGCCTGTGGCGGTGCTGTGGCCGTTCTGAATGCCGGCCAGGACGACATTTTGCGTTGGGAAGGTATATACCGATGACTGTAACCGCGTTTTCACTACTTCTAGAGGGCAAGTCAGAATTGCACCAGCAGTTCCACCAGCTCTACAAGAGTTAAAGAAAAACATAACAAAAAAAACATTATAACGATTCAACACTGTTCAGAGTACACGTGTATAGGCCATTACTGGCTCATTTTACTTGCCACGTGCATTGGCCGCAAAAAATGGGCCACTCCCTACATAGTACAGTATTTGCTTGGCATCCTAAGTACACAATCACTTCTGTATTTTGCATATGACTCTTTACGGTTTAGTTTACTAAAAAAAAATGGAAAAATGATGGGTTAGATACTTATGCTAGGCACAAATGTCTTTGGTAACAGTATCCTTTGTGCCAAAAAGCAGTATCCTTTGTGGTTGGTTCTGAGCAACGGATGTTAGGAGTCAGTGTGTGTTACAACAGGTATGACAGGAAATGGAATTTTATAGATTCTTCCAAACCTGATTCATTCTTTCCACATTTCAATAATGTCTAGTACATATCCCGTTAATCAAGAGCAGTCACTGCAAATTGTAAAAGTTAAAAACCCCTTACTCTCTAGAGACACTGAGAAGCGAGAAGCTCCCTTCTGAAAACTTAAAAGTGTGTATTATGTTACAAAGACCCCATTGTTGTGCTAACTATCAGTGATACGGACAATCGTTGCGTGGCAGTTCACTCAATACCAATCAAAACTTGCATCAGAATGATAGAAGTTTGGGGCAAGTAATTTTGCTTTTGTCCAAGATTACCACGTTTCTCAACATTTCTGATGCAATGGTCCTGGGCATACCCAGCCCAGCCCAGCCCCCCTCCCCTCCCACAAAGATTGTTTGCAGGTGAGGTGTGAATTTCAGAAGGGGAAAGGGGAGGGGCAAATTATCGGGCAAGCTGAAATCACAGTCCAACAACACAAAATAAACGTTTATACTAGTAAACATCTGTAAACTACATATCCGTCTCAAACAACTGCAACGTACAAAATTATTTTTATTCAAAATCGCAGTTCAGTGGCGACCCCTCCCCCGAGCGGGGTATTTTCGTCTGCGGAAATTTCCACTGGTTTGTTTTGGTTGCAGAACTACTGTCTACGGCTGTTTTGTCACATAAAGTATGATTTCGCTGTCTCTTTATTCCCGGTTTTCATTTCAGAAAACGGCCTGATTTGGAATTTACCAGGCCAGGAAAAGGCAGAGGATACATACTTTAGTCCAACACCCAAACCAAACCCGTCACATCTGTCTGTACGTAGGTAGGCATTTACGTACGTATTTCTGTACGTACATAATGGGTATACCCCGGTAGTTCTTTCGTCACAACAGGGAATGTTTCATAAGAGAAAGCCACTGAGGTTTTAAAGGCTGAATAAAAGGGACAGTGATTAAAAGATGCCAAAAATACAGCATGCGAGTGGCGGGAGTTTCCATGACATAAGATATACCAGTAACTGTATATTCAGTAAACGTTCGAAGTCCTGCATCACGAGTTCGCGAGATTCATGCGTTACTTTCTCGAGAAATATTCTGTTATGTTTGTAATTCTTAGGTGAAAAGGCTTCCACTAACCCTCCAGCAATCAGATGGATGGCAGGGTTCCGTTGTGTTGTCATTTTCTCATTTCTGTGCCGAGAATGTAGTTGAATCCACGTCTTATGGTCCACGAGTCGTCTGTTGAATTGATACCACAAAGAAGTGAGCGCACGCAGAATGGCGAAATAACGCGCTGTGATTGGCCAATATTTAATTTATTCAAAATACTAATAGCTGATTGGTCAGTCTCTTTTAGCCTTAGGAAATTTCCAATGGTTCCTATCACGTGAACTCTTTGTTCTGATTGGCTGGCTGGTGACATAACCACATGGCGCACGCATGGTAAACATAAACGCCCTACAAATGCCCCTTCACCTCCCCTCTCTCCGTCACCTGCACGTCTTGGCCTGTCTTGTACGTTTACTTTCTAATATTTCGACTTTTTAATGATAAGCAGGGTGATTTGGGGACAATAGAGAACAATGGGCTCTCTGTGACGAAGTTCTTCCGTTGCGTCATGGCAATAATCTACGTGCTTGAGCCAACACCAACCAACACGTGCACACACGTCACGTGTATTTGCTTGTTTTGCTCGAGCCTCCGTGCCATCCTAGTTTTCCTATTCCTATTTTGTCCAAGTTAGCGACTAGAGGAGCCCCGATATAAACTAGGATGTCACCAAAGCTAGTGCTCGTGGGCTCATGGCAAAGATGAGGGAGGCGTTGTTGACCTTGGCGCTTGGCCAGATACTTGCCCAAATCTACGGATGATCCTTTTATTATATTATTTATGATAACCTAGAAGCTTCCATCTGTAGAATGTCCTTGTAATAACGTGTAGGCATCCAGCAGAGGGCACCAATAGCATGAGGCTGATTCTATGCGATAGGGTACTGCCGAGGACAAGGCTAATTGCAAAAGTTTCAAATTCAAAAAGACCCAAATAATATAACTGTTAGAGAATGGGTGGAACACAGTACAGAAGGACTTGTAACGTTACCCCCTTGGTGAGGGGGTGTGTATGTGGGATGGGTGGGGGTGTCTTAAAGGGTCAGGACTCAGGTGGCTAGGGTGTCCTTTCACCAAGGAGCTATTTAAAAGGAAAGCAGTGACCTACTTTGCCAACTGCGTATAAATATGGGGCTCAGCACAGACACTGAGACAGGAAATATGAGAGGTTTCTGGTGCTCACTCATCTATTAGCCTTCCAACAGAAATGGAAAGAAAATCAGTAACATTACTGACATCAAGGAGGCCTGTCATTTGAAGAAATACAATTTCACTCCCAGGTCAGGTTGGGATGTCATTTGATATGCCATGATTGACCACCTCAGGGTCAGTACCAAAATTAGCCTCTATCTCCATAACAACTCAGGATAGTGTAGACACCTGTTAAAGAAAGGTACTGGTAGCATCAGTAAGGCATTTTATGATTGCAAACAAAGCATAAACCCTGAACTACAATGTCGCTTTATAATGTGTACTTGGTACCTAGCTAACATCCACACACTAAGGTCCAGTATGACCACTGGAACCCTGGCATTTAAAGATTTTCCTCCTTCATTTGCTTCAAGTCCATGCACACCCTCAAAGTTGAACTAGTAACCTCCATTGTAGGTAATTGTCACATTAGCCACACCAGCAGGTAGCAGACAGCTGTGTCAGTAAGGTTCCACTTAGGTTTCAGGATGTTATGTCAGAACCTACCATTTTGCTTTTATTGATGTAGATGTAGATGTAGATGTAGATGTAGATGTAGATTCCTTCAAAAACCTAATCTTCCTTCAGAATTTTAAACCTCTTGATATTTGCCATTCAAATCAACATTGTTTTTATGATAACTTGCAAAGCAGCTTAGTTTATAGATATAGTAACATGTATCAACTTGCAGGGAAAAAATGAACATCCCTCAGAATCTGTAATGGTACAGTCTGTCAGAGAGCAACAAGATGTCATGGTGCAGGAGCATGTAGCCCAGTGGTTATGAGACGGGCAGACTTCAACATGAGGAGGAAACATGCTGTCGTTCTCCTTGCCGCATCCTGCCTAATATCTTGTCTCACAGGTAAATTACAGACGATGATTCGGTACCATTTGATCCGAGTAGACAAAGTTTTGGCATGATGTAATGGAATGTATTTTGTATCAATATGAACATCTGAGAAGATTAGGATGTGAAAATGCTTGATTATTTTCATTACCTGTGTTTCAGTTTTCCTGATCTCCACCTGGGTGTATGAAGATCCCCATGGGAAGACAAAAGGAAGACCTCAAAAATATGTCACCAGTCAAAGAGCCAAGATAGTGAATCGGGACAGCAATCGCACACCAAGCAGGCATCCATCTATTGGGCAACAGTTCCTTCAAGAGTACTGCAATGTCCCAAATGCTTCTGTCTCGGGAGAGGAAGGTATGATGGCACCTGTGAACCTCTTTACATTTTTCTGGGTAGTTGATGAACTTAGTTCGGTTTTAATAATAATGTAATACATGTTTTAGAGGGGGAGGGCACTCTAGTATCATCTGGGATGGTTGTGTTTAATGGTTTGTTTGCATGTAAATAGTGCCAGTAAAGTATGATATAGCTGAATTTTGCAGTTGGTATACACTTCATGCATGCATGAACGCAATTGACTTCATGGAACTGGAACAATATCCCTTGTTTTTGTTGCAGGGGATGCACCACCGGGTTACCACTTGGAGTCTGTTCAGGTTCTGATACGCCATGGTGACAGAACGACATACTACCCCATCCCAGGGTTCAACATGGAACCCTGGAACTGTCAACTTGATCCTGACAGGTCGCCCTCCCACCCCAAACTCCCAGCATTCCTTGAGAGCGTGATAGCTTTAAAACCTGAGCAGGTGGACAGACCGTTGCACAAGTTCTCTGCCTATCCTCAAGCCAAGGTGTGTAAGTATGGACACCTGACGCAGCAAGGAGCTGTACAGCATCTGTACAATGGTGAACACCTCCACAATGTGTACATCAAGAAGTGGAAGCTCCTTCTGCCCAACTGGAATAAAAGTGACGTTCTTCTTATGACCACTAAGATGAGTCGGACCTACCAAAGTGCCATAGCTTTCTTGCATACGTTTCTACCCAATTCTGACTCCGAGAACTGGTTTATGCATGCAGTCAACAGCTTAGTTTTTTGTCAGCGTGGAAAAGGCTGTGAGTGTAACTCTAAAATGACGTACTTTCGCATGGAGGCTTCAAGGTACTCACATCGTACAGAGTCTGCAGAGGGCGTGGTTCGTGTGCTTAAAGAAATCGCTCACACCTTTGGGATGACCCGAGCTGAGCTTGGCTCTCTTACCCATGTTCTGGACCTATTCAACACCCACCTCTGTCACAAGATTGATCTGCCTTGTGGCAAAAAGACTTGTCTGAAGATGACACAATTTGACACACTTATCAAACACTTTATAGAAAATAATCGTATAAGGGCAGAGGAAGGTGCTTTTGCTAGTTACGCTGATCTAGAGATGAACCCTATGTTGTCAGTCATGCTGTCATTGATGAAGAAATCTGCACCACCCAAGTTTGTTCTGTACTCAGGACATGATGTGACGGTTTCTCCTCTTCTCTACTCACTGGGCATCCCGGAAACCAAATGGTGCCCCTACGCCACAAGAGTGGTGTTTGAGTTATGGCGTGATAGTGCAGGCAGTGCCCGCTACATACGTGTGTTGTACAACGGGGTAAACGTGACGGACCAGCTCAAGTTCTGTGCCGGCCACACTAAGGATGGAATGTGCCCCCTGGAGTCCTTTGCTTTCTTCGTCAAGAAGGGAGTATTCGAGAAACTTGGTGCAGACAGTTATGAAGAGGCTTGCATGAAAATGCCATGACTCTACCATGTTCAACTGTTAACCATGGGTCTTTACCACAAAGTTTTTGTGCAATCTAAGATTTATTACATGTCATAAAAGGACCACTGTGTAGGTTTTGTTGAGACTTTTATTCAGTTGCAAATTGAGGGTTCCATCCTGGATATTGGTGAAGAAAAGTGCCATGGACTATTCTGTATGTACATGTAGGTCACTGCCACTGGCATAATAGCATTGTTATCAATTTAACATTTGAAGAAGTTCAATTATGTGTATATCAGTATTAGTATAAGAGATATGCAATATACTGTATTCAGTCAAAACATTCTTCAAATGAGCAAGAGGATTGGTGTACATATACCTAAGGCTGCTGAAGTTGCTGAAAAATATATTAAAATGTACAACATGAGATATTATCAAAATGTGTAATACCAGCTTCTCCAATGAAAGTAAAAGTTGGTGCCAAATATTTGTGGTCTGTTGTACATATGCTGCAAAGTTCATTTTTATCCTTTTTCAGAGGAAAGATCATGCAAGTTTTAGACCTTATTTGCGTTGCATTCTTGTTTATGATTTGACAAAAGTCTATAGGAGCGTGATATACAACTACATTCAATATTGATGATAATTATGCCTTACACTATATATTCCCCCTGAAAGAAGCGTAAGCCAAGCGGTTTTGAAAGGTACGACACCCGACACGTGTACGTGTGTGCATAACCTGTAACGCACCTTGCGATAAATACGATTTACAATTTAATTTTTTTACAATTTTCTAAGTTTTGAACAAAATAAGATACAATGAACATGCATAACATTAGCTACTTAACAATATAGCACATAAGTAGACGGATGTCAAATGTAAAAGTCGTGCAAAAAAACAAATTCTTCATGCCACAATAAAAAAAGGATAATATTTATTCCATTGCGTTTTTACGGATGTGGCTTTGAAGTAGAAACACAAACAAACGGTTTTGTAGCTCAGATGACTGAGCAAATAGCTTGAGTCGCGCACGCGCGGATTGCATATTGGGCGAGGAAAAAACAACATGGCGGTCCCTGACGTCTAGCCCGCAGGCCATATGGAAAATAAAAGACACACGTCCGATGTGTCGCCACCAAGTGAGATAACCTAAGGTAATTACGTAAACCTGACATTTTTCATACTTTGTTGAAATTTAGATGACGACGAATTTTTAACAGCGACCCATAATGGTGTTAAACATTTTCCGAGGAATGCGAGTGTTCGTCGTCCAATCGTAAATATATACATCCTGTTTCGCTTCTGGAATACCTATGCTCAAGATTTACATGAACAAGCCATCATCACAAGTTATTTTCATGAATAATTTTCAGGATAAGCTGTAATTTCTGTCGTATTCCTGATTTTTCAGAGCGGCCTGCACCTGTTCGCTGGTGGTGGGCGGGGGTACAGGTGTATTAAGGGCGGGGGTCACGGCATCGATTTGTCTCACACCGCGTCACTTTCACTGAGAGGAATTGCAGATTTGCGACCTGGGCTTCAACCATGAAGTCAGCCCGTCGTTTGGTGGGATTTCTGGGTCTTGCTGCCTTAGGAATGGCCGCTTTCTGTAAGTATTTTGGCACTACCGCTAGTAAATATGTGAGTATTTCTATCTGGGGGGTACCCTATCCACGAACTGCGTTACTTGCTTTTGTCCCAAATGTTTACGTGTTTTGTACGGGACACCGGTGTCCAATAACACCAATTACCACGGGGAATTACACCATTCAAACCCAGCTGTGTGTGTTTAATTTTGTTACACAGCAGACACTCTCCTCCTTTTGTGCAAGGTAATGATATCTTACTTCATAGTTCTGTAAGAACAATGAGGTTTTTAAACATAATTTCATGTTTATCAAAATGTAAAGCGCTGTATTGTCCTCTGAATTGTTCTTGCCACTGCTTGTCCGGAAATTCTATTGAAAACACGTCAGACGATGCCTGCCTCTAGCCTGGGTGCCATCCCCAGTAGTATATTCGCCAGCTCTGTAACTGGTTATAGAGCTGGCGAATATACTACTGGGGATGGTACCCAGGCTAGCCTGCCTCTTGAGTACATACAAGCTTCCTTTGTATATATACAGGGTTGTCACTTGTTTACCCCTGTCAGCGTACCACTCAAGACCTTTAGCCTCGGAGTCTAGACGTGTATAAAGAAGGTCTCCGCTTCTCACTTCTCTTCAAGAGTGACCAGCGATATTGTTTTTGCAGTCAGTATTAGTTCTTAACACGTCCCTGGTTCGAATGTTTCACATGTACCTGTTAACAAACCATGTAAACAACCACATACCACACAACCTGTGATGCACACACAACTCGGCTAGAAGCTTAATTGTTATCTGATTGATTCACATCGATGGACGTAAAAGAGCTTAGCACTGAAAAAGATGACCCATAATTCTAGCCTCTACCAGGCTTCAGGTGGCGGCTGGAAAGAGTAGAAATCGACCAAATAGAGAGATAACATGCCGCGCCGGGGGAGTTGGTCCGCTAGAGATCTAGAGTACAGTTTGCCGCACCCCTTTGATCGTAGCCACCCCGCACAGGCTTGGGGTGCGGCAGACTGTACCCTCTAGCGGACCAACTCCCCTGGCATGTTATCTCTAGCTCTATTTGACCGATTTCTACTCTTTCCAGCCGCCACCCGAAGCCTGATAGAGGTTACTAACTCCCTACCTTGTTTGTAAAAAAAAAGAATATAAGAGTGACGATCTTCCTCCTCCTACTCACAGATGGCGTCGTCCATTTCGACCTAGCGCGGTTTGTCAGTCTGAAGGCAGCGCAGTCCACACGTGTGCTCCACACCGGGCACAAGTCAAACACTACAGGGCATGCGCACATCAACTCCTCGCCTGACGTCACCACGCTGAACGACGCGCCTGCGCAGGACATGCCTGAAGTGGTGCGGTGGTACTGTAACACTCCGAGGAGACTGGAGGGCGAAGAAGGTTTGGGCTGTCTATTAAAACAACTAACTACTCTATACGGTCTAGTACAATAGCAGCGCAACTAAGTATACAATGTACCTGCTCTTCAAGCAGAGGTCGTTACCTTCTTCTGATTGATTGTCCCATTGACTGACTGGGGACGGCTGACAGAAAGCTGCGTGATCAGAAGAAAACAATCTCCCCACCAACCTCTGCTTGCAGAATACAATATCCGTGCACTGAAACTGGTTTAGACGTTAGAGTGTCGTTTCAGCACCAAGGGCAGAGCCAGTGTAGTATCTTATCTAATGCCGATCGAGGTCACATTTCCAAACTGGGGCCCGGCCGGGCTGTTTCGATTAACGAAAAATCTTCAATTCATATCATGATATACACTGATAGTTCCCATTATTAGCTTTTTCAACTTTTTTCTGGAGAAATTACGAAATAGCAATAGAACTAAGTGAATTTCGACCAGATTAACTAGGTTCGTTTTGTAAGATAATAAATCGCGTAACGTTCTATCTCGCTTTATGTAATTTTTTTCACATAAAAATTCCTCATTAAAATTTTTCTCTAAAAAAGCATGTCTGATATGTGCAGAACTCCTTCCATATACTAGTATGTAACATTCTAAGTTAACACAATTAGGCCGCCCCGTTGATGTGTCCGTCTGTTGTCTGTAGGTCAAGTTCCGGATGGATTTCGTCTGAAAGCCGTGTTTGTGGTGACTCGTCATGGCGACAGGGTTCCCATGGAAACGCTTCCCAACGTCAAGTACAACTACAACTCCTGGACGTGCAAGCTGGACCCCGGCAAATGGCCGTCCGACCCACTTCTCTCGTCATTCGTCAAGAGTGCAGAGATGTTGCGTACACGTCCTAATATTTTCGGGAGTTCCGCCAAAGGATTGGTGAGCATGTCGCCATATCCTAACAGCGCCGGCGGACCGTCAAAGCTTACACAGACCGGAGTCGCCCAGCTTCTGCGTGTTGGAGAGAAACTACGGAGAGCTTACATAGATAGTAAACTTTTAACAGCTGGGGACACGGAGGACCAATTTACTGTCATTACCACGCCATATTCCAGAACGTACCAAAGCGCCACCGCGCTGATGTACGGGGTACTGCAGGATGATTTATTCAAGATAAGAGTACATCAGGAAAATAACGTACTGTTTTGTGGCGCGAACTGTCGCTGTCCACTCAGAAATGAGTACATGAAACAATTTAAATCAGTCGATGCTAAGTATTTTTCTCAGAACGCGGAGTTTGCAGCTGCGCTAGAAACCGTTGCGAAGACTCTGAACAGCAAGGTAGCTAACGTTCGATATAAGATCATCGACGCTTTATTTGGCCACGTGTGCAACAAGCTGGACCTTCCGTGTACTACGCAAACTCATGCATGCTTGGAGAGGGAGCATGCGCGGAACGTACTCAAGTTTGTCAACAAGGATGAGGAGCAAAGACGGGAATCATTTAATGATTATTCGCGTCTTGCGATTCAACCTCTTCTAAGCTCCATAGCAAACAGAATGGCAAGACTTGTGGAGGAAAAGACGGAGGTTGCCAAGTTTGTGGTGTACTCTGGGCACGACATGACGGTTACACCATTGCTGAGCGTACTTGGACTGACGCATGCGCGGTGGGTGCCCTACGCGACACACGTTGTCATGGAGATGTGGGAACGAGATCATCACGAAGACTCTCAGACGTCGTTTGAGAAAAACTCCACTTTAACAAAACCGGGAAGACTAGAATTAAAGCAAGCAGCGACGTCATTAAAAGGAACTTTTGTCAGGTTCATCCACATGGGAAGAGATGTCACGGACAGGCTGGGATTTTGCACGGGGAAACTCCAGGCAAGACTCTGTCCACTCGAGGAATTTTTGGAATTCGTAGAACACGGAGTATTTCAGAAATTTGGCAAGGACAGCTACACAGAGGCATGTACACCATAGAACAGTCTAAAGGGTAGCAAAAATAGGTGGGCGTCAATCCGTCCAACACCACGTTGTTTCATAATTTATTATTTATCATTATTTATTTATGTACCTCTTTACGATGCAGCGCTGTTATTGAGTACAGATATACACACACATATTTTACTAGAAGTGAAAACTTGTTTATTTCTCAGGGCCTGTAAGACCTCAATACTAGTAGTATTTCAAACATGAATCGTTACATTCCGTGAAATATTTTCTAATAAGACTGACGCGTTATGGAAACTCGTTATTCTTCAATGGCACCACAGCCCATAAACAGACAGGGAAAGATCATGGAAAACCTCTTGACTAGCTTTGCGTAGAGGATTGAGAAGTAAGAGCGCAACCAGCCGCACTCAGTCGGACTTGTCTGGAGAGCTTCCCACATGGCGAGTAGTTCTGTGGGGGTGTAGTGGTGAGACGTGACGATCTGGTGAGAATGGGTACACACGGTGAAGCCAAACCGGTGGAATGTAAAACCACTGGAAGGGAAAGAAAAACACATAGAGTAACGTCAGTATGGAATATATATAATACAAAAAGAAGGCAAGAAACTTGAATGTTTGTTTTTCTTATACAACCAAAAAATATAATAGAAAATATCATTGAGGCAGGACTATCAACAGAGCTAAATGCTTTGAACGAAGAGAGTTTTTGGTTGAGTATAGCTGCTGACTCTTTTTCGTTTGGCTGACCGAGTTACCCGATGCCGTTTGCAAAGCTTCACGTCTGATGTAATTGCACCACCGTAAATGCACGGTAAGTTGGTTTGAAAAGGGTCCTGAGTCACATTGCTACAACTTGACATACACGTTGAACTTCTATTCATGAACTTTCAATAAATCAAAATCAAATCAACATCACTAGCGAGACGACAATCTCGTCAGGGCAGCGACGGTTGTTGTTGTCACAGACTTATGGCCATGGCACAAATCTATTATTAGAACACACGTCTAGACCAGGAGCAACAGACCTGAGAGCTTAGCTTACAGGAGTCAGCTTACAGGAGATGTGGGGCTATTCTCCAAGCAGAGGTTTGGGTTCGGGGTTATTTTTGCGTGTTTTAGGATTTTTTTTTATCGGGGTTTCTGTTTTGCACTGGATTTGTTTGGGGGGTGAAAAAATTCCAAAGTATACAAATGGTCTGTTTTATCCATAAAATTACTTGCTGTGGCCTTAAGCAGTTTTCAGAGTAGGTCTAAAAGGTCCTAAACTTCCAATTACTTCCTATGCAAAATTAAAGTCAATCAAGCCATATATCACTGCATGAAAACTCGCATTTACCTATGGCAGTAATGACCTTCAGCACTTGTGGTCCCAGGGTCAGAAAAATCTCCGGACATGCTGCCTACAGTCTTATGATAAGACCTACTAAAGACCTTCTGGGATGTGATGTGTCAATACCGGTAAAGCTGGGCATTGTTTACTTTGTTTTTGTGATAAACACTAAAATAAAAGTCAATTATGTTGATTCTTGACCTAGCAACGGTTGTATGTGAAATTATCGGGCTTGGCTTTATTTACTTTACTATTGTAAAACCAGATACTATTGTACAAAGTAAATATTAGCTGTATTTACTACCTTTGGTAAATCCAACTTTTCGTGCAGTGACATACGTTTCTAACATGAAACCCCCATACCTGTGGTCCCATGGTGTTATGCCCTCTCTTTGTGCACAGATGCCCATGTACACATCCTCCATGGGCATGGGTGGCGTCATCAGCGCCGCGACGTAAAATCTTCTCACCGTATCCATTGACATGACGTAACCTGTCCCGCTCAGGTAGTCTGGGTATACGTCTTCGTTAAATTCCTCCCTCGAGACGTAATATCTGTCATTGGGTGGACTTCTGACAGGGTGCACACCCGTTTGGATAGCTCCCATAAACAGACCTGAACTAAGGTCAACTTCACGTTGTAAAGTTTCAAGATGGCGTACCAGAGTCTTAATGTTAACAAACATGTCGTCGTCGGTTTTCATGACGTATTTAGCACCACTGCAAAATGTAACAGCCCATCTGAGGATCATGACTGTTTTTGTGGTCATGTTTCTGTAGGAGTCCCGGAAATCCTCCTGTATGATATCCCCGCGTGCTTTGGCTTCTACCTGCACCGCGTTCTCCACTTGGGCGTCGTCGCTGCGTCCCAGAGCGAACAGTACCCTAACGTTTCCTTGTGGGAACATGGTCTCATTCCCCCAGGTTTTACGAATGGCGTTCCGGTGCTTGGCATGTGCAGGTGAACTTGTGACAACAACGACGAGGAAGACATTCTTCTGCTTACATTTGTTCTCTAAAGTGCTGACGAACCTGTGCCTGTGTGGGTTTGCAACTGGCGATAGCTCTGTCTTCCTGATGAATAGATCGTCAATTTTGCTGGGTTTTCTCGTGGCTTCCCGGTAGTGTCCGTATCTCACAATATGATTGAAATCTGTCCAAAACGCAATGTTGACAATCAAAATAAAGATCGTAACAGCAAGAAGGTGCACGGCTGTCTTTGATCTTTGAACAGGAAATTTATACCTGCCAGCCATATCTGCTCGCCAGATCGAATAACAGTCCGTTCAAGTGTTTGTCTCCAGTAAAGGTGCAACTTTGACGTCAAATTATGCCAGTTGAACAACGGTTGTGCTGCTCTGAAGCGGTCACGCCATCTGACCTGGGGAAAAAAAGAAATTGATTAATTGAGTTTCGCATTATTTATTCATGCAGCAGCTGCAAATGGGGAATCATATAGCAGCGTTCACTACCAGCGCTGTCCAGCCCGGTATACTACAGTTTATAACGTTAACATTGTCATACATGGCCGACTAGCATTTATACTTACTGCCACTTACTACTATTGATAAAATCCAACTTTTAATGCACCGCAGCGTATATATGAATCGTCCGCAGGTGTCTCCCACTTCCTCAAGGAAATAAATACTGTAGCTTACTGGTTCTACTGGGTTCGAGAAGTGCGTATCCACCATATGCGTCAAATGATCATCGAAAAAACACATGCAATGTATAACTTTAAATGACACCACAACACTGAGAACGGAACCGAACGCAAAATAATAACCTTCCAAATCCTCAAGTCTTTATGTATAGTGTGGGGGTAATTATAGCAGGTGTATCGGTATAGAAAAAAAACAACAGAACAGCCGCCATTATGTGTAACACACCTTGTTTGACACACTTGTATTTCCCCAAAACAACGTGGCATACCTCGTTTTTAAACGCGCTCACACACAACGTCAGCTCATACAGTCATCGCCAACACAGTGGAGGTGGATCAAGAATGGTTATTGAATGAGATCTAGCTATCACAAAACGTACCTGGAGCCACCCGACTTGTCCGGCGGGATCTTTGTGGCGCATGTGCTGTCGTTATCAGGGTGACCAATCACTTGGAAGCGTTTTTTAATTCGAACACACGTTAACTTTCCGAGGATGCGTGACATACCTGCCCCTGCCCCTCACTTTCAACAACACCTGTCGTCGCTATGTTAGAACATGAAAAGTTAGATATTGACAGCTTTCCGATACTTTTTTTCAGTTCTTATCGGTCAGGATTGATCTCTCCGATAGCCAGCCGGAAAGCCACGTACTGAATCGAACGCTTTTCAAAGGAGTTTTCTTTGCAGAGCGTATCGCTCCGCCGTTCCTAGCAACGCCAAGAACGACATTTTCGCGGGCAAGTTCAAGTTCAGTAATCTGCAAATTTCCTGGTCGGGACATCACGCAGATTGGAAGAGGCGCAGCGTCTGGACTACGGTCGGGATGACAGCCTGCTCTTGAAGGAGGCGATGGCTAAAAATTCACCCGAGCTTTCCTGTGAGCCGTGGAATGGACTTCTTTCTCTCGCGGAGAATTCTCTCGACGTGGCTTTCCGGCTGGAGTCCCATTTCAAACATACTTCAGCTTAATTGTTGATGTGTGATACACCTGCACCTGTCTCTTACTTGCGGCAACACCTGTCGTCGCTATGTTAGGTCGTGTCTATACGGAACCACCCAAGGCGCGATTCGGGTAACTCACATTCTTCACATCTGGTCCACGTGCCACACACACCTGCGAAACCGTGTCCGAACATAATGCGCTTGAGCTACATTTATTGCTGTTTGATGATAACACGCAAGGCGGCGTGTTATTAATGTCAGAGGTCAACGACCTGCTTGCTGATGCCCCCCTCCCAGCGTATCTGGGCCGAATGCCGACGTGGTCCCGCCAGAGGCGGTGAAGCTCGCCCTAGAACGGACACATTATTTGACCATTACTGCTCTTTAAGTTGCTGCCACGTTGGTATTGCATATAAAAAAAGAAATATCACTCCGTAATCCATGACCAGGCGAAGTCACATTGAAATCACATTGCGTTCAGACGCAAATCGCGATGCGGGGAAAGCGATTCGAAACCACCTCTAGAAGTGGCTTGGGATCGAGGCGCTTTCAATGTGATTTCGGAGCGTTCAGATGGAGCCACTTGAAACCGGCTTCGGGGTAAACCACATGTAAACCGCCTTGGGTGGTTCCGTATAGATAGGGCCTTAGATATACCGATACAAACTTTTCTTCTGATCGGTCAAGATTGATCTTTTCGTTAGCCAGGTGTTGTTTTCTCACGTACAAATAGCTACCTTTTTGTTCCAATTGTTAGCATTTTCTATAATACACTGTTTAAATACTTCCCAAGTTTTTTGGTAGACAATGTAGCAACTTGTGCCTCAGTGTGCCAGACAGTCGACTGGGTCTCTTCGGTAACCGGAGTTTGTTTTCTGAAGTACAAATAGCTACCTTGTTGTTCCAATTGTTAGCATTTTCTATAATACATTGTTTAAATACTCCCCCACCACGTTTTAAACGCGCGCACACACTCTGACAACGTCAACTCGTACGAGTCATTCAACGCAGTGGAGGTAAATCAAAATATTATTGAAACAGATATAGCTATCTTAGTGATACCATAGCTGAAACAATACTAGTACGTACCAGGAGAACCGGTCCAGGAGACATCCGACTTGTCAGGCGGGATTTTTGTGACGCATATGCTGTCATTATCCAATCCAGTTTCGAACACACCTTACTTGCTGATAATGCGTAACATACCTGCACCTGCGCTTGGACGTCCGGACTTTTAGCAACACCTAGTACCTGTCGTCGCTATGTTAAATTAAACATTGACAGCTTCCAGATATAAACTTTCTTTTTCAGTTCTGATTAATTGGTCAAGCTGTTGTCTGTCAAATATAGTGGTGGACGGTGGCTATAGCGCAGACTGGAATTTTGGGTTTCGTTCTCCATCAGTACAGTGACCAATTTCTTTCACGAATACCGTCTACGTTTTTCATCAACATGCACTTGTGCCTTCGATCTATTAAGAATCTTAAAGCAGATTCTCTGAGGCAAGGGGAGTCTATATTGGCCCTATGTATAAGTTGTATATATACTAGTACTGACTGCCTGGCCAATTTGATGCAGCCACCCAAATATCTGCTTGGGGATTATACCATTTTCAACGTGAGGGACGAGTGATGAAGGGTTACACAATTATTGCCTAATTATTATTAATAATCATTTTCCTCAACAATGCAGAATTTCTTATATTCAAATTAACCATATCAAGAAGATTGCGAGCTTAAAAAAGAGTGAACCCCGTTCAACGGGTGCTTGTGGTATCGTCTGTTGACCCGGAAGTATTCGCACCCAGGTTGGTCAGGTGATACCGGCCGGATCATCAGTCATACTTCCAACGTGGCCAAACCGAGACGTTTTCATCCAAGGTAGCTCCAAATATTCATTATTTTCACCACTTTGTACATAGAATTGTGGCTTAGCTTACGCTTAATGGTCATGTAAGGTTTTGGACCGATACGTTGAGTTTAGACTGAAATTTTCGTCCATAACAACATGGTTTTCACACACACCCTCATTCCCCCACTGACTTTCGGATTCTGAACGATGACGTATCATTCACAGGCAAAAACATCAAAATATATGAAGCGTTATTTGAACTAGTTACTGAGAAATCTTCCTGTTTATAACCAAGCCCAAGGGGTGATTGGGCTTGTATAAGAAGTTAATCTTACATACGGATATCTACTCTTAGTTGGTCGTTTTATAACGCTCTGGTACCGTAAGGCCTGGTGCCGAGAAGAATAGGGGTAATACACATAATACAGTGCTGCCAGGGAAATCGTAAATATCTCGACTTTGAAGCAACAAAATAACATGAAATTTGGTACACAGTTAGACAAGACATCTTGCATTTCAAAAATGCTGAACAAGTCTAGAAAATCTACATAATATTTTCATAATTGATTAGGAAATGTGGTATTCGATTTTACAAAGATGGGCTGAGACCCCACCTTTCCCGACGGCCAGGAATACTCAAATTTTTAGAGGATATGGGGGCAGTTGTGGAGTATAAGAATCGGTTTTCAGAAAATAAGAATACTTTTTGAATGTAAAGAAATATCAAAATCTTGTTCGTTTTTACAGAATTTTAGGGGGTAGCCATGACATTATCGATTTGTAGCTCAGTATGTGTTGATTAAATGGGTTTTCCGAAAACCGATTCATATACACCAACTCGTCGCGCTTTGTTTGCACCTAATATCAACTTTGTGCGTAGTGTGGAAAGGTGGGGTCTCAAGCTTTAAAGTTTAGATGTTTGAATTCTGTAATTTTTCTAGCCCTAGCTAATCCAGCACTATCAATCAACTTGACAGCTGATTATCTGTCAATAGATTTGTTGTCTTTAGCACCCTCTTTGGAGGTAATTATGTGCAATTATTTTTAATTATGCATAGAGGGCAGCGGTGGACCCAGCCATTATTCAACCAAACAAGGAAGTTTTCTCTTGTAAACCTGCTTGATCTAAACAAGGAAGTTTAAACCTCCTTGCTAACACAAATGTTGAAAATGAACACTTCCCT